ATCCAAAACTCCAGAAACCCATTTATGGGAAAAAACTTGAAAGATTGGGAACTAACAGAAAGGGAAAACCTTGGTTTCTCTTAGGGGATTTTAATGAAATACTAGATCATAAATGAAAAACTTGGAGGAAGAACACGTCCTGACAACTCATTTAGAGACTTTCGGCGACTTGTCAGAACCTGTGAGTTTACAGATCTGAAATCAAGTGGTGATCGATTTAGTTGGGCTGGAGAGAGAGGAAAACATCATGTTACATGTTGTCTTGATCGTAACATGGCTAATAATGAGTGGCATTCGCAATTTCCATCATCGGAAACAGTCTTTTTGGAGTTTGCGGAGTCAGATCACAGACCCCTAATCACCTTTATCTCTGAAATGGAAGAAGAAAAACGTGGTAGCTTTAGATATGATAGCCGTCTAACTCACAAGGATGGATTCAAAGCAATGGCTTTACAAGGATGGAGAGGTCAAGGTGAAATGGGAAGAACAAGCGTCCCATTAACTAAACGATTGCTAGGATGCAGGAAAAAAATATCAAGCTGGAAACGTGTGCATAGAATAAATGCAGAGGAAAGGATAAGCATTATTCGGAGCAAACTTGACAAAGGTATCGCCAACGGCTCCATATCTCCACCTGAAAGATTAAAACTTCGTGAAGAGCTTAATCAAGCTTACATTGACGAAGAGATTTTTTGGAAGCAAAAGAGCAGAATACAATGGTTAAATGAAGGTGATCGTAATACTCGCTATTTCCATAACATCACTAAAGCCAAAAGATCTCGGAGCCGAATTTCCTCCATCCTTGATTCTGACGGTATACTACACAGAGGAAACTCTGAGATAAGCCTGGTGGCATTAGATTACTTCAAGGATCTCTTTACATCAACGAGGGGAAATGAGCATTTGTATGACGAAGTGTTTTTTGACTTCCAAAGCAAAGTAACATCTTCTATGAATGATGATCTAACACGTGAAGTGACAGAAGATGAGATTAAGAAGGCTGTTTTTGATATTGGTCCACATCGGGCACCAGGCCCTGACGGCTTTACAGGGGATTTCTTCCAAAAATTTTGGGATGAGATTAAAAAGGATATTCTTCAAGAAGTTAAAAGCTTCTTTGATTTCGGAACTTTGGATCCTGCACACAACCACACGAACCTCTGCCTAATACCAAAAGTTCATCCACCTACAGTGATGTCAGAATTCAGACCTATTGCACTATGTAATGTGTCTTATAAGATCATCTCTAAGATCTTAGTCAACAGGCTTAAACATCATCTCTCTGGCATAATATCAGAAAATCAAGCAGCATTCATACCTGGTCGGATGATAACGGATAATATTATCATTGCGCATGAGGTTTTCCATAGCCTGAAGTCAAGAAAGCGACAGGCAAAGAGTTATATGGCCCTCAAAACAGACATCAGTAAGGCCTATGATAAACTAGAATGGCGTTTTCTAGAGGAAACAATGAAACACATGGGCTTCTCGACTCGATGGATCCAATGGATTATGAAATGCGTTTCGTCTGTTAGTTTTTCAGTCCTCATTAATGGCCAAGCTTATGGACATATCACACCAGAAAGAGGTATACGACAGGGCGACCCTCTCTCCCCATATCTTTTTATTTTGTGTGCTGAAGTTCTTTCCCACATGATGAATAGAGCCACTCAAACTAGAAGATTGCAGGGTATTAAAATCAGCATTCAAGGACCATCGATAAGCCATTTGCTTTTTGCTGATGATTCTCTTTTCTTCACCTTGGCGAATGCTCGTTCATGTAAGGCAATCCAGAAGATTCTCAGCATTTACGAAGCAATCTCTGGCCAGTCTGTTAATCTGCGAAAATCCTCATTAACCTTTGGGGCCAGAGTTCAGGAAACAACCCGTAGGAAAATGAGGAACATCTTAGGCATTTTTAATGAAGGAGGAGGCGGCAAATATTTAGGATTACCAGAGCAATTTGGAAGCAAGAAATCAGAGATGTTTAAATACATCATTGACAAGGTCCAAGAACGTACACAAGGATGGAGTAAAGGCTTTCTATCACAAGGCGGTAAAGAAGTTCTTCTAAAGTCTATAGCTCTCGCCATGCCGATCTTCTCTATGAATGTCTTTAAGTTACCAAAAGCTATTTGTGATGAGATTACCACGACTATAGCAAGATTTTGGTGGAGCCCTGGTAATAATGCTAAAGGCATGCACTGGTTAGCTTGGAAACGAATGAGCCTCCCAAAAAGAGAAGGTGGAATGGGATTTAGAGATTTGGAGAGTTTTAATACAGCCCTGCTCAGCAAACAAATCTGGCGAATTATGCATCATCCCAATTGCTTGATGGCCAAGGTTCTACGGGGAAGGTACTTCCCACAATCTAATGTATTGAACGCTTCTATGGGAAAACAGAGCTCATATGGGTGGAAATCACTATTACATGGAAGAGATCTCTTGAAAAAGGGTCTTTGTTATGTCATTGGTAATGGGACAATCATTAATACGTGGACAGACCCATGGATCCCATCTCATCCCCCGAGACCACCTCGACCAAGACACACCACAAATGAGGCACAACGAGTCAATCTCCTCATTAATCAACATGGTACTTGTTGGAATGAAGCCATGGTTAGGGAATATATCCATCCAGATGATGTTGATCAAGTACTATCAATCAAATTATGCCCCAAAGCTACAGTAGATCTGCTTGGATGGCACTACAATAAGAATGGGATCTACTCTGTTAAATCGGGTTACTGGTTATTAACCCACCTCCCAGGAAACGACTTCATTGCGCCACCGAATGGTAACCAACGTCTGAAAAAGCATATTTGGAAACTGAAAACAGCTCCTAAGCTAAAACATTTCTTATGGAAAATAGATGCTGAAATACTACCATCAGGAGAGCTACTAAGAAGAAGACATATAAGTCAACAATCTATTTGTCGAAGATGTTGTAAAGCAGAGGAATCTACAAAACACATTCTTTTTGATTGTGATTATGCTCAAGCGACTTGGAGGGCATCAGGCATTCCAAACCCGATTCTATTTGATACACAAGCAAGCCTTGATGACAAATTGATCGCTTGTCTGTCCAGCAACACAACCTCTCTTCTCAGACAATATCGTCAGCTACCTTTGTGGATCTTATGGCGACTTTGGAAAAGCAGAAATACTCTTCTCTTTCAAAAAAAACATCTACCCTGGGGAAGAAATTTGGAATACGCAAGGAAGGATGCAATGGAATGGATGAATACAGAAGACTATGTAAACCTTTATGCTGGTGTAAACAACACAGGTTCTTGTTCAAAGTTTAACCACACGTTGTGGCAAGTCCCTCAAAAAGACTGGATCAAATGCAACTATGATGGTTCTTTTCTTAATACAAGCACTGCAGCAAAGTCTGGATAGATCATTCGTGATGACAAAGGAAGGTATATGAGTGCAGCTCAAGTAAGAGGTCGAATCGTCTTAAGTGCGTTAGAAGCAGAACTTCAATCTCTTATTACGGCTATGCAAGGCTGTTGGAGTAGAGGCTTACGAAGGGTTGAATTTGAAGGGGATAACAAAACAGTTTTTGAACTTCTTAGTGGATTGCAACAGAACTTTCATCTATATAATTGGATCAGGGAGGCACGATGGTGGATATCACGATTTGATGACGTCAAGTTCAATTGGGTGCCGCGAAGATTCAACAAACCAGCTGATATTTTGGCAAAACATCCTCTTACTCCACTACAAAATTATGTGTTCTATTTCTATGTTCCACATATTATTACAAATGAATTACATTCAGACTTTGTACCTATCCTTCATTAATAAAAGTTTTTAGGCGAAAAAAAAAAAAAAAAAAGTCTTTTTCGGAGGCCTTGATTTTTTTCCCTTTTTTGTTATTTTTTTTCTTTGATATTTCATTCTTTTACTTTTTTTTTTTTTTACTTTTGGTTAAATTAAATTAAGATACTACAGTATACTCGTTGGACGATGGGAAAGACTAAATAAATATTCCAACTATTTATGTGGTTGGTTATAATTTTAGAAAAATGTAATTTTTTTTTCATTTATGGTACTTACTACAATAAAACCTCTATAAATTAATAATGCTGAAACCTTGATATTTTATTAATTTATCATGATATTAATTTATCTATAGATTATAAATTAATAATTTATAGAAAAAATTGCTTTCCGCATATAATTTTCTAAACATTTATGGAATAATATTATATTTTAAAATTTTAACAAAGTCTCATAATATAAATTATGATTAAAAATCATAACTATCATAATAAAATAGTTTTTCACCATATTGGATTGTCCATATAAAAATATACATATTCTTAAGTTTAAAATTTATATAAAAAAAACACTATAGCTACTATCAGTATTATTGATGATAACATTGAAGATGACACTACAATACATTTAAAAACATTTACATATAAAAAAATTAATTATCATATCAAAAAATCATCATAAATTTTGAATGTATATAGTAAAACAGCAATAAGAGCTACTGATATAATAATTAGAGAGATGAGAACCAATGAGATTTCAACTTTAACTAAAAAGAAACACATTAGTCATATTTTAGAATATTAAATTTACATATATTTACATAAGTTTATATAATTATTAATTTATGTTTTAGTTGGGACCATATATTTACATAAGGATTTCAAAACAAATTATTATCTTATTATCTTATCGAATTTGATGGATTTTTACATTGGCCCGACTTGAAACCAGCAAAATTTATTTATTTATAGTGATTATTAATTTATCGAATATTAATTTATAGAGGTTCTACTGTACATGTAATTTATTTATCTATTATTTTTTTTATCTTCTGATATATTCCATAGAAAATTCCAACTTTTTTTTTGGATAAACCCTATCGGCTGATCCGGTCGGCCTCGGTAGGAACGCACCGAAGTACTATAGTATGGACTTCTCTCTGGTTCAACGGTTCAACGGACACCATGAACTTCGAGCGAACTCGAGTCAACGGGCCATGAGATCCATGAGATCCAAATGTGCCACCACAATACATGTCCCGAGTTTGAAATATCTTCCAACTAATGTCAGGAAGTAGCCATATCGCCTGTTAGTAGACTATTGGGTAAACTGCTTAGATCTCTGGCCCAAACTCAGACTTTTCACATAATTGTGTTTTTATTTTCAGGAAGGATTGAATCTGGGTGAAGTGATGTAATACCCCTCACAACCCTTCCTATCACTGGACCACAACGATGCGGGCGAAAATTCCAACTTTTGTGTTTGACCAGGAGGTGGTCTTTACGTAGCATGTACATGCTATTATCGGGTTCGCTCTATATTCCCAATTCCCAAATCCCAAATGACAAATAGGATACATGGAAAAATGTTTCCATAGTGGAGGTAGTTTTATGAAAAAAAGTATTATATTTTATTATTGTATCGTATATATTAGTATCCACATTACATGTTCTCAGTGTAGTCGAGAATTACATTACCGGCGCTTGAAAACGGACTTAAAAAAGTATCACGTAATCTGTAACTGTTTTGGTTTACAACGATTTCAATTCAATTAATTCCATGAAGATTTGAAGAAGGAAAATAGTAACTCATAATGAATCCGATTTCAGTATGTAACCGAATCTTGTAGTTATTATGATACAGTAAGTCGAGATAGTAATGCGTGATGATCAAGATAAAGATATGCAACCAGCTTTGAAAAGGCAGTCCTCTTATATGAAAAGGGTGATAGTAAGATGGAAAAAACGACTATTGTGACAAATATGAAACCAACCAATCTGTAGTAATTTAATGGTATTGGTCAAAAAAAAATGTAATCTAATAGTTAGTTTTCAGTTGGTTGAGGTCAAAGAATTGTTTCGCTTGACGTATTCTTTTAGAAGACTGCAAAATTTACAAAGTTGAGCTCAAAATTCCATGACTACGTAGTCTATATGTATATTCAACAAAAACCTGAAATCGACTTCTTAAAATAAACTAGATAAAACCCCGCGTGTATTTATATATATATATATAATAGTTTAGTTTATCAATAATATATATATATATATGCAAATTTAAATTTTCTAAATCATGATAGAATTATGTAATCTCAAATCATTTTCTATGGTTATCTCTTTAAATTATTATTAAATATATATCTGTCTATTTATTACATATTTTTTGTTTTTTTACTAATGAAATAAAGTTAATATATACGTACACTCATCGATACACAATAAAATACAAAATATTATGTTTGTTTGTTTCAGCTTAGCTTTAATCTCATCTCAAATCTTTTGAGTTCTGCTTAAGGTAATAAATATTAAAACAATAATTTCTTTCTAAATATTCTTTTTTTTGTTAAAAAATATAAAGTTCGGACGTCAATAAAATAATATGATAAAGTTTGGGCATTATATTCTTCTGATACATAAAGAATTTTGTCTATATGACAGAAAAATAAGGCGCTACGTAAGAAAATTTCATAACTAATTGTAGAATGAGTTAAGCATTCACTATATGTCAGTCTTATGTATCTACAAAAGATGTACGAAACTATAAACAGAAATTGAACAGAAAACAAAATACCTCTAAAACTCCAACTTCGTTTGTTATATCATCTGCTTTAAATCTAATATTGTTAGGTACCAGAGCATTACAAATACAAAAATATCATAATTTTTCATGCATGCAATAATAAAAACTATTTATAGTTTTTTCAATGTTTTTCAAACAACAAAAAACGTCGCATAAAACTCTAAATTAATATGAAAACAAGAAATAATTATTTTAATGGTTCATAAAGTTTTTCTTATATATACATAAAATAGGAATATATATATTGTGTAATTACGCTACATACAGCTTGTTCATAGCTCTCTTTCTATGAGGGAAGGATTGGTTATCATTGCCTTCTCGTAGACACGTAGAGTGATTATATCCATGTACTTGATCGCAGATCTGAAACACCAAAAGCCACAATCACTAAAACAAAAGTAACACAAACAATCTGTATTTTGAATATGTTATTTGAAGACCTTAATTATTTCCCAATGTTGGTTATGAACGTGACTGCAGTGGTGTTATATCTGATTTCTGGAGCTCTTTGAGCGTGTAAAAGAAAGATGAAAAATAGGTGGAATGCCGCTCCATTTTATAATAACATATGATTATAACTCTTGATTCTTCGAATTTATTTTAGTGTCGTTCAATTTTTTCGGGTGTGCTTTACGAAGTGGTAACACTACAAATTCAATGCATTTCCTTTTTATTGTAAGAAAATGACTTTTTGAGATAAAAACTACTTTTGTATTTGTGTCTGATGAATTAATTTTTTTTTTGGGATTGAGAAAATTAATTTTTTTCAAAAATTGATGTGTTAAAAGAGTGAGTGCTTATGTGTCAAGCTTGTGAGACTCAACTGAGTCTTTATATAATAGATAATCTTAGAAAGTTTGGTTTTATCTAGAGCCCCTATTGGATCTATTGGCTAAATGGGTGTTAGACTAAGCTCATTTAGGCTTATAACCAAAAATTCGACTGGGCTTTAACTACTTTAATAGTGGACAAAGTGGGCATAGTAGCCTAATGACAATTTGATCCGTTTACAAATTCTTTCTTTTTGGGTGTGTGTGTGGTGTTTTTCAAGTTGGCATTCATAAAGATAAAAGAATTAAAATTTGGAAATGGAAATGGTAAACTATTTTTTGTTTTCTGTTATTTTCTTTGACAAAAAAAGAAAAAAGAAGTGGTTCTTTATTTTGTGCAAAACTCTTATTCCATTTATATATGATTCATTTCTTTTTTGAAGGAGGCAAAGCAAGAAAAATATAATAGAAAAATGATGATGAGCATATTTTTTACATTTGAATCTAAAAGAGAGGAATGGAAATATGGAATAGTAATTACTAAACTTTCTGTTATGTACCACATCATCTTACATAAATAATAATATTATCATTCCATTATTCCCAAATATCCTCCCGAGATTCTAGAAGCTCTGATCTCTCTTTCCCCCCGACTCCACTGATAATTTTTTAAATAGCAAAATAAAAAATCGTATAAAAAAAATCCCCCAAAAATGTCTTCGTTCTTCCTGATCACATGGACCTTATCAACGCATTATTTGCTTCCATCCTCTCTCTTCCCTGCAGCTGTATGGCACTTTCTCCACAACCGAAAACGACGTCGGCTTACACATTACAGTCTCTTTCTCTCACCAAACCCTCACTTTCTCTTCTAGAATCACTCCTCATCACATTGCTTGCTATACACGTGATAAGAAAAAACCCCCTAATATTTAACATAAGAAGTTACTATAGGCTTCTATCAAACTTCCCCTTTTATATTCCTTTTCTCGTATATTTACACGTGTGCCTCGGTGTATATATTAGACCTAAAGAACGTGTGGAATTAAACGTTAACACACCCACTTTTGACAGCGTGTTAACGTCTAATTACTTTGAATTAAAGTATGTATATATATGGGGGAAAGGGGCGTGAAGAGATCGATTCTATACTATAAGTGGCTAAATATGAGATATTAAAGAATCTAGGGGGGCTTTTAGTTTCTTCCTTCTTGTCTTTTAGAAATGCTCCTTGTGAAACTCGAACTTTGTTGAACCTTTTTGATTGAATGTGTTGCAAAGTTTGCTAAGCTCTTTGCCTAGAACCGGTACTCCACAGTAAAACACTCCTGCGAAAAGAAAAAAAATAAAATATTTGAGAATCATTTTTATCGCTTAATTATTCTTTATTGTTGTTTGATTGTGATAGAAACTGTAAGCTTTTATTAAAGCACGAAAATGAAAGCTTCTATAAAAGCAGATACCCCCAAATACATCTAAACACATTGCACACGGATCTGGAAAACGAAATGAAATTATGGGGACTAAATTGATTGAATCTATAATTTTTTTTTTTATGTGAAGATTGAAAAACGATTGAGGTAGAGTGATGGTTACCTATCCTTGCATTGCAATGCTTGGAACTTAGCTTAGAAAGAACCTTCTTCCAATTGGGTCTTGCAAAGTGTGTTCTGACCTGAAAATGAAGATTTTTTTTTTAAAACAAAGATTTTGAGTTGTGGGGTTCATTTTTCCACATACGAGAAGTTGGGGACCGTTTTAAGAAATCAAAGGAATCACGATTTCTCTTTTGCAGTTTACTCCATTTGGTTAAATGAAGAAAGTTGCGTACCCTAGTGCCAGAGACAATGTCGACTCCATTTTTGGCGTGATTAAGAGCTTGAACCATGGTAATGAGAGCAGAACGAGCATCGCCTTCTTCATACACACTTGTCAAATAGTTATGCATCTCTATTACACCCTGTTCCACACACACATACACATAAAACGTGATCAACTTTGATATTCTTAATTGATTTTTTGGGAAATCTTGTTTGACTTTTCTCGGGGAAGGTTTTAAATATATATTTACCCGTTGGTCAAGCTCTGCGACTTCGTTCATGACGCCTTTGAACCAATCAAAGGAGCCTTGTTCTCTTGTGACCCAATAGAAGTAAGCATTTGTGGTTTTTAGTATCCTTTTTCGTCTCGGTGTATTATTGTCACTGTTACTTCCTGTGCTGGGCTCTGATGATCTACTGAAATCCGAGATCGAATCCTGGCGATGTTAAAACATTTATCAAATTCATATCATAATAAACATTTGGGGAAAAAAGTAAAAAAATGGTTAAAGATTTTGTTTATTACCGCTTGCTCTTCCATTTTAATAATGTTGTTGAGCAAATCTTTCAAGATACTGATAAATGGAGTTGCACCAATGCCAAGACCAACTAATAAGAGAACATCATATTTCCTATAGTCTTGTGCTGGTGCACCGTACGGTCCATCAATCAATAACTTTGGCAAACTGAAACAAGATTTAACTAAACATATCAGCAATTGGCTAATTATATTTATCAGTATGCTTTTTTTTTGTGTGTGTTATACCTTTTCTTTGTTGTTTCGTCTGCTCTGAGAAGTCCACTTTTACCGGCAACCGGTGGCTCACAAACTTCAGAGAATACTCTCTTGAGTTCTTGAGTCCAATCTCCAAGTTGTCTGATGTGAATACTGATATAATCATCTTCAGGTGCTGAAGTAATTGAGAAAGGGTGCCTAAAAGGAAATACAGATTTAGTAAGAAAGATTATTTGATTAGTAGCACAAACAGTTTACTTTCTGTAAATATTTTACCATTCGAATGGGGAAACCGCAGGACACTGGACAAACATGTATTGTCCGCTTTTGTAACGAAATTGAGATGGTTTCGACATTTGCAACGTTAGAACGTTACCAGGATATATAGCAACCTTAAACGAAAAATCAAAGGAAGTTAAGACTTTTAACTATCAAGAAATGAGTACAAATAAAGAAAACAGAGCACTCTGTTTTTTCATTACTTACCTTTAGAAGTCGGACAGAATAAGAACCAGAACGGAAGTATCTTAGTGTTCTTTCTCCACCATAGAGTAAAATTGGTACTGAAAGATACATCCATGTCTGCAAAATTAAATACATCTCAAAATCACAAAAAAAAATTCAACAAGTAATGAGATTAGGATCAATCATAAAGACTTACCGTGTGAACATACCAAGGCTTGGCGAAATAGAGGAAGATACCATGAAGGATAAGCAAGATATAGACAATGACGAACAAATGGTGAGAATACCAAAAGGCGTTAAAACCAGTAAGACGATCAAATGGCTTAGGAAGCTTGACGAGGTTACGCCGAAACCATCTTGTTGCTAATGTGAATGAAATAGTCATCAAAATGATCATTAAAATCCCTGTGATGCCTTCAGGTCCTTTAACGAGGTCGAAGTAAGTTGGCTGTTTTTGCTGAAAGTAATGAAACAGATAGCGATTGTAATCGTACTCGGTGGCTCTAACAATTCTTGGGAAATCACAAGCAAGATGGTCTCCAACATGAAGGATCACGGCTACTACGATGGCTCCTGCAATTGTCTGTGAATAACATTAAGAGTAATGAGTTTAATTTTTTTTCCAATTTTAATTGAGCATAGGCTTCTTAGTTTATAAACCACCTTCACTCTTGATTTTGCTATCTCCAGTTCTAAGGGTTGGCATTTTAAAATCATAACTCATGTAAAATCTAAGTTAAAATGGTATATAAACTAAATATAATAAAAAGAGTTGCAAATGGTCTTTCTTTTTAAAAGTAAACCAAACCAGATAAAAATGGAACCATGTTTTTCTTAGACTGAACAAAAATTCGATTCTAATTTGATTTTGGTATAGAAATTTATATTTTTTGCAAATGTACATGAGGATATATGTTTCGCTAAACCGAACGAAATCGAAAATAAAACAGAACCAAAAAAATATCTCAACAAAATAAAAATTAAGCTCTAATTTGGAGTAGAAGTTTTCAAACAGAACAAAAATTTCATATGCCTGACTCTAGTTCAATTTTCTTTTTGTTTTAAAGACTAAAAAGAGTAAGAAATGGAAAAAGTAAACTAAAAAAGGGAAAGCGAAATACAGGCAAAGAGCTGTTTAGCTGTCAGTGTCAACTTCCAGTGCGTGCACAAAGAAGATGAGCCCCACTTTCTCAGCTTTTTTCGACAGCACATTGCGTTCGAAGAGGACTTTGTATCTAATAAGTATTGGTTTTGACTTATAATAGAGTCACGAAAAGAAAGTTCCTATTGGGACCTCAACAATGATTAAGAAAAAAAAAGAGCTTCGTATTTTCAGGGTTTATAGTTCACTAACCTTGTGGAAGTTGATGTTATCATCAAAGGGAACGAAGTAAGAGAGTCTTGTGGATCTGAGCCAAGTGATTGTGTTTCTACAAACTGGGAAAAGTATGAGAGCCATGTTGAATTTAAGTATTTCTGCTGCTCCTTTTGCTGTGAGTAAGCAATAACCCATCACATGAAATGCATCTTTTTGCTTGTATTGGAAGAATTTCCACAAGAACAATCCGATCATGATCAATATCCATAAGGACAAAACCCATATCCTTTTCCAGTTCTCTTGCATGAAGTAGACGCAATCCGAGCTCATTCGATGTATTCTGCTCTTTTTTCTTAACCCTTGAAGGTTTTGGCTCAATGCTTGGCTTGTATAACTCAATGCTTGACTGTAGTTGATGTATGTGTCTTTTTGTAGAAGCAGAGTCTCTAGTTGCCATAGCTACACAAAAAAGGGATTATAGCTCTGAAATCTTTGCCTTAATGAATCATAATCATAAATGCTATTATAACTAGACAAGATATAGCAGTGACTTGTTTTGTTTTTTTTCTTCCAAACTCTCTACTCTTCTACCTTAATTAGCAAAAAATGAAATAGTTTAGTCGTAACTACTTCACCTACCATTTGAGTTAATGAATTAGAAAAGAAGAAGTTTATACTATTTTTGAGCTACGAAATGGAAGAATCTATACTTTTGTAATGGACAACTATTCTAGGTGTCAGCAAAACTGAGATAAGAGTAGAAAAAAAGCAAACAGATACTTATTTGTTTTTCTTATATAACCTGTGAGGTCATTATCTTATAGAATTATTGAATTCTATATATGGGCGGCGGTTTGGTATACTTTATTCCGTTTGTGTAACGAAAGTATTGAAATATTTTGCAATATAAATATTTACATCATGCAAGCACGGAAACAAAACATGTGATGGCATGTAAAATTCAGTTCTCAGTTGGTGACATAATAAAAGATACAGAGTATTGGGACCAACCTCTATGTAGCCAAGTCTTTCAGGATCTAGCTCTTCCATAATCAATGCTGCATATTCCTCTGCTTGTTCCTTCAATCTCGATAGCTTATTTGCAGATGCGCTCAGCATTATAATCTATATATTTCATTTTCATATTTTTTTCCCAAAGAAAACAAAAAAACAAAAGGATAAGGATCTTTCATAATGTTAAGTAAGCCATCTCTATTACATATTGTGTCACCGTCCTTTGATATATTAAAACAACTTGAATATTTAGTAAACCATTTTTTCTTATAAAAAAACATATTTTCAACATAAATTGCCACCTTAGTTCTAAAGAACATGGGTAAAATATTAACGACAAGAAAATTCGCATTTTGGTTCTTTTATTTTATTCTATTATTTAGATGGAGTGGTTAGTATATCAGCATTTCATGCGATTTAAGGTCACCAAATCCCCGCCTAACTTTGAGTTTATATAAAAACTTAATTTGACCACCAGTCCCATTTTTTTATTTTTTTGAATATTACGAAAAATCTAAAAAAATAAAAAATATTAAAATGAATAATGACAAATTTGCTAATCAGTTTTCTATATATAAAAAAATTAGTCCGCGTTTAATTCTTTACCTCCTTTACTTCCTCTTCTGTAATTCTCCCATCTTCGTTCTTGTCCACTCTGTAATTTCCGACAAGTAAAGGTGATTAATGGATTGTGATCAATTGTGTATTAATTATCTACATTAAAGTCAAAGGTTTCTTATTAGAAAAGTATAATTAAAACATACGCATCGTCTGGAACAATAATTCCTGCACACATGCAGATTACCATTACTTCCAATATACTGTTTATAATCATAATTAAGAAGACTGATCTGGAACCGCTGAAAATATGGGATCGTTTATAGTAAAATGATTACTTATATGAATATGAGCTTTTAGGATAATGATTATTAGTAGACAAAATATGATTAGCAGTAATTAATTAAGAAGTATTAGTCAATTAAGTAACTTTCTGTTACTCTAAAAACGTACATGTCGAAGAAGATCTGGAGGCGAGAATCGAAGCTTTCGTCGTTGATTTGAGACCAATACTCGTAAAGCTCGTCGTGACTGATTTTCTCAACTTTCAATCTTCTTCTCCTGCTCAATGCGTCGAACAGCTCCAGTGCGAATTCCTTGGAATCTTTCATTCCTGGGGAAAAACAAATCGAGTTTCAAATTCAAATTTCGAAATCAAAATCTGTGAATCTGGAGTTGTGGAGAAATTAAAATCGAACCTATGCATTGAGCGAAATCGGAGCGATAGATGAAACCGTTTTTGGAAAGTTTCTCGAAATTGGTTTGAACATGGTTCCAGCCATCGACGTTCTTATTGTTATTGCTGATGAATCTCAAGCCACGAAGAGCTCTCTGAGCACTAGACCGAGTCCGATCTAGCTGAGCTCGTTGTTTCCTCAAAGCTCGAGCCTCTAGAGCCGAGTTCACTAAACCACCTCCTCCTCCTCCGCCGTTTTGATTCGCGGCGGATAAAGTACCGGAAAGAGACCGAGACCATGAGAATCGCTTCAGCTCGTGCGATAACTGCCTCGCCTTCGCGACTGCTTCCGCCTTGAGCTCCTGGGAGAATTGCCGGAGCCGATTCGACGAGGTTCGCTTCATCGTCGGAGATCTCGAAATCGAAGCCGAACCGCCTCCTCCTACAGCGATTTCATCGGAGATATCGACATTAATGGCGGTTGCTGGCTCGACGCTTCGAAGAACGATGGTGTCGTCGTCCTGAAGATCGATCGTAACCTCGACGAACTCTTCACCGTAACCACCGTTGGAACATTCAGTTCCCGGAGAAGAAGAGGCACTCCCGACGGCGGTTCTTCCGGCGGAAACGGAATCAAACGACCACCGGCGCCGATCGTTCTTCGAGAACGGCCTCATTGACCAACAAAAGAAGGAAAAAAAAATCGGATAGATCCAAAAATTGGATCGTCTCTTCGCCGGCGAACACTGACGATCAAACTGTTCGACGAAGTATATTGGACGTATATACACGTAGCATATAGATTGTATATATATATAGGTAGGTGGAATCTTTGGAGAGAGAGAGAGAGAGAGATTTCAAACGCGTCGTGGCTCAGTGGAGAAAGCCATTTTTCACGCGCTGTGCAAATCTGTGCTTTATAGGGGAAAAGAGAGAGAGAGAAGAGAGCAAAGAGCCAAAGACGATGGAGGCTCGAACCGGTACCGGGAAAATTTTAATAAATTTTTTCTAAATGTTGACTTCCTATAACTAATTTTTTTTTTTGCTATTAATTGACACGACTCTAGAATAATTTTATTTGAAGTTTAGAGTTAAAATTTTAGCTTTTATTTTTGTATATTGTCATGCATGTTTTACTAAATAATGCTATGTTTTCACTTATAAAACTTTTATACTCGAGTTACTCAAAATTTGAATAATCGAAGCGAAGCAAATTGAATCTCTGAATGCCTAGCCTTACATATTTTCTAAACGGCTATAAGTTGCTAGTAAATATTTTTACGGTAGTAATATACCTTTTGTTAGAAGTGTCATCTGTTGTAATACGAGTTTTAGAATGTGCCTTTTAAAAGTAAATAATAATACCTTTCATTGGCAGTAATCTATTAGTTTCTTATAGCATGAGAAGAATATCAACAATTCGGATATGTTATTTCAAGTAATACCAAAGAAATATTTTTTAAAATCTGAGTGATTGTGTGACTGTTGTTTCATTGCAAGACTACTTTGTTTCCTTTTTGTGCGACGCGTTTTATCCTAAGTGGTGCTTGTGAACTGATGAAAGAAAAACAAAAGGGACGACTTTGAATATAAGTTGTTTAGATGAAACTTTTTGGTACAATAGTGATTGATGTAGTATTCTTAAGTCCACGACTAAGAATACTTTCTCAGATTTGAAACGAGTTTACTTTCATGAAGAACAAATCAAATTTGATAACAGCATTTTGTTTCTAGTGTTTAACTCTTAGATTCAAAAGATTTTACGTTAGCCTGAAAATGGTTCATGGGTCGTCCATCATATTTTGTACATTAAGGGTTATATATTCACTTAAGAACCGGATTTAGAATAGTAGAATATTTACCCGAAATCATTTGTTCGAGTGGGTAAGATCTTTTTCTTCTTAATATATAGTATTTAATAATATAACTAATTAAACCCGAATGAAAGTCAATAAGGTTTTTTCTTGGTTATCAGTCTTACAGCGGGTTTGAACCGGACACAAAAAAACATCTCCTTATACTATCATTAGGCCACCCCACTATCCCTTCAATAGAAATACTTTCTTACAAAGTTACAAATTGTATAAATTGTTAGAATTAATATAAGCTAAATAATATGGATATAAATATATAATGCATGTGTGTGTCAATGTTGCAACTTCTTCATGCACTTAGTACACATGAGAAGTTGTTCAGATTGCGACTTAGCAACAAACAAATAGACATGTTGAACATTCTAAACTTCAAAACGAAATACCGATTAATCTAAGTCATATTTTATTAGTTTCTTTTAGATGTTTCTTGAGGAAATTTGTCTCCTTTCTTCTTGTTAGCCTTTGGAAATGTTTGCGTATCTACCAAGTAATTATATATATTTTTAAAGAATATATGTTTTTTTCCTATTGCTGAATTGAACCACACAAGATACTTGATATGCCATATGTTACGATGTTATGTAACTCGTGTTCGACCCTATTTAATGTCAAATATATTTTCTTAAGAAAAATAAAACTATTTTGGTATCTCAGACTAGAATCCGCGAGTATCTTTTCGCTATCGTTTTTTATAATTAATAATGATACATATCTCATACTAAAACCCATGAATACCATGTTACTAATCTTTCCAATTTTCTTCTTAATCTTATCATAGTTCAAGAAAAAAGTCGTAAAGAACGAAAAAGAAACAATATTACTATGCTATATGAGATAAATTATTTAAATTATATTCATCATGTTTTGATATATGAAAATCATGCATGATCTATATGAGTTATGTAGATATGCTATCCAACATCCAGACACACTTGAAAACATTAATAGTAGAATATGATAAAGGAAATTAATGTTTTCAATATTCTAAATCAATTTGCTTTTGATAAGATAACAAATTTCTCTAAGAAAACATGTTTTCAATATATTTTCAAATAAATATATATGATGTAAAAGTCAAGATTGATTCTAGTTGCTTAAGAAATATTTTCCAACGTAACTAATCTCATTTTAAAAAAACCTAGGTTTTTCACGCTACACGTAATCTCGACGTCAATTTCAATTTCACGAAATATATTACTGTTGATGTATTCACTCTTGTAATATTTTATATGGATGAATAAAGCCAAGAGGGCTTTAAATAATTTATAAACACGTACTTAAGTGAAAAAAAATGTGTATATACAGTGTGTAGTTATGTACACACATGCGCATATCGTAATTCTTAAGACAATGGTATATAACGTATATATAACTTTAGGATTTTGATTCACTATTTTCTGCAACTTTTGACGAAAGTAACTTGTCCTATAAGTAATTCTTGAAGAAGGAGAATGTGATATGAATATTCTATATATCAATCATTGTTTCGAAACAATCCTTATATTTTAATATTTGGACATATATATACATCTGAACTCCTTATCACAAAAAAAAAAATATATATATATACATTTGAACTTCAATGTTGTCAGAAAAAAAGCACCCCACTCTAAGAAAAGATTTATATCAATATATAACATCTTTCTCTTAACTGTATTCTATAATATCAAAGGGAAGTTAACCAACCTGCTTGACTTTTAAGGTTTTCAAATTTGACATACCCATTGCTTTTATTGATTCCAAATGTTTTTAAAATGATGGATTAGCTCTAAACTAGTGTTCTATTTTCTCTGTTTTTTTTTTCCCGTCCCACAGAAAAAGTCATGTACACAATTACGCTAATAATTATATCATATTGGTTATTTGCTTAAGAGATCAGACAAGAAAATGGAAAACCTTTTATTAATCGTAATATGGAATATATTCAAAGTCAAGCGGATAGAACACACGGTGGCGGCTGCTCGGCTGACGTCGTGCCTTAGTCCCTTAGAACAACGACCAGAAGCAGCCGAGCTCTCTCTCTCTCTCTCTCTCAGGGGTACTCTCTGCTGCATTATATTTCTCTCGACCTTTGATACTCTTTTCTGCTTTCTTGTTTGTGAGTAGCTTTTTTTCGATTCCTTATCTACATAACTACATTTGATCATTCTTTCTCTGAGTCGTTATAATTTGCAATTCTGTGTGTAGAATTTTTGGTTGCTGTGACCTGATTGGTGAGCTCGCATTATAGTTTGATACTTATATGGTTTGCACATTATTCATGGGTATGCCTCTTAGCACTCGGTTTTGTTAGTTAAACTTTCATAATTAGATTGATACTTATATTTGATACTTATATGTGAAGTGTTGCACGCTATATAGTTTTTATCCTATTCTGTCTAATGCTATGTTTATTACTTTATGACTATGTTTAATGCAAAATACAAAATATCAGTTCATTATATTGTTTTCTCTTACCAAATACAGAATTTGACGTTGTTTATGAAAATGGATGCTTACGAAATGAAGTGAACCATAAAAATGATAAAATGATACCGAGAATGATGCGTTTGCTTCTATAGTTCTAACATCTATTACATCGGCAGACATAATGACTTTAGATTTTCTCGAGACAAAATATGTAGGCAGATTTAGAGGTGAGAGATAAAAATCAGGAGTGTTTGGAAAACATAGGAGAGGAGATGATTCTGAACAAAAGTAGAAGCTTGTAAACTACACTAACTTACCCTTTGAACTGTTTGGTCCGTCTAGCTTCCCTTATCCGATTAGGTTTAGATCGGTAAAGGATGTTTCGTCGTTCCTCGTGTCTCTCCGACGCCGGAAGTCGATTGTTTTCGGTTCTGTTTTACCGTTTTGCCGACGATCCTTTGGTTGAAAAAAGCAACTCAATAAACTTTAAAAAACCAGTAATTTAGAGCAAAATAATTACAAACTAACCGACCGTGATCGGTGTGACACCACATACATACACAAGCGATTCAAGTTTGAATCAAATAAACGACTTCATCATGATGGCTTTCCAAATTTAATATGTTATCTTACTTTTATAATCATTTAATACACAACCAAATTCATTTACATCCTTAACAAATAAACACGATTGGTTATAAGGTGTTCAAATGAATCATACAATGTTTTACATAGTTGTATAAGAGATGAACACTTGTTTTTGTTCGTTATCTTTTTACAATCACATGTTTATTAAAACTAAAGTCAATAATTTATTTTAATTATTACTGGTAAACCTAAAAAGCACATCAAATTCATGAGAATCTTAGGCGTACGCGTCGTCTGATTTGTGACCATTAGTGTTGGTGGAGAGTAATAAAATTTTAGGAAATATTCAAAGCTAATAGTCTAATTATGATATGATATCTAGAAGCAGACCAAACTCTAACAACCGATTAAATTGCGTAATGTTTTTTTCTTTATCATATCGAGTATCTCAATGATGGAATTATTTTTTTTTCGGAAAAAATTCTACGTTTTGACTTGTGACAAAGTGATAACTCTTAACCCCAATTATTGAAAAAAAATAAAATAAATAGAAGTGCAGTTGGTTCAGCACGTTAATGGGATATGTTTCATTTCAATGCTACTACTAGACTCGAATTAGAATCCCAAGTTTAAAGATATACAAAGATATTAAAGTTGAGATTTATACCATTAGCCTCGTAGAATTAATAAACTTTAAACACAACAGACCTTGAAAAGAACTGTTTGGTTACAACTAAGACTGAAAAATGTTACAACATGAAGGCAATACATATATAAACTATATAGATATATATATATGTAGTCTTCTGCACCTAATTAAACTGCGCACATAGAGAAGAACTTACCTTATACCGTGACAACATTCATATTTACAGACGACGCCTACGACGTGTAACAGATCGTTTTTCGAGTAAACAAGATCAGTTTCTATGGATAAACCAGGCTTATTTCCAACTGATTCCTGGAAATTTCCGAGGTTTCTGAGGATAAGTGGATGCTTTTTGGAGTGTTCTTGTTGGTGGTGGAGGCGGCGGCATCATCATACGGGAATGGTTCTTGAACTTGCTTGAAGATGAATGTTTTCTGTCTGATTCTATTGCGGCTGATGATGAGCTTGGGAAGGATCCTTTCCTGTTCTCCATCGTTGATAGTTTCAGTCTCTTTGAAGGCTTAGGATGATGATGACGATTCTGCTCTGCTGCTGAATCTTTTCTCACGTGGTGGTTGTTCTTGCTGCTTAAGTTATGATCAATGGAGGAAACAGTAGCTCCGTGCCTTTCCAGAGGCGTTTCGATTAGTATGGATTTGCGGGCTTTCATGGACTTCTGCGAGAGCTTCTTTGGCCCTCTGAGGATTCCGTCTGGGTTGTTGTGGTGGCTTCCGGATTGGACTGCAATGTCACACAGCGTTTGAGCAGCTGCTAATAGCTGAGGACAGGATAGAGCTGCACCACAACATATCATCATTATAAGAAGATTCGAGGTGATGATAAATTGAGTAATAGCATTTGTTAAAGCATACCATCGTCGTGAACATCTCGTGTTTCCTCTGGTTCTGCATTTGATGAGAAATAAATTGATATTATATAGTCTTAGATAAGAGAAAGAAAGGAATACGTAGACAGATTCTTACCTGTAGGAACAAAGGAAGCTTTTTGAAAGGTAGAAACAGATGCTTCTGTGCATTGGCACGAAGTGGTGTTAGCGAAAATTTTCTGAGACGCCTTGGTTCCAGAAATAGTTTGCTTCTGTACTGGAAGGACTAAGCTTTGGTTGAAAGTGAGTGAATCCAGATTTGCGAAATGATCGGTTATACTATCTGGAGAAATCATAGTAGGATCGGCTATTCGTAGCCATCGTCCTTGACAAAGCGTTTTGCCGTTTAGAAGCTTTGCAGCTTCTGAGTTCGTTCTAGAGCTATTATAAGCCTGTGACCAAGGGAAATGTGGCAATCCACCACGAGGAGGTAGTTGTCTAGCTGAGCGCTGCTGATCCGACATATTCTTAGGGTTCTGAGAAGGTTTTGAAGCATCTTGGAGCAGAGAGTCTAAATCTTTCGGCGGAGGAAGGCCTAATCTTTTCAATACATCGCTAGACTCGCATAATGGAAAATTAAGTGGCGTGGAAGGAATTTCAGGGTTGACACAAGGATCCTGAAAAATACAGAAAGTAGAGAACTTTTGAGTCAAAGCAACAGAGGCATCTACGCAATATTATACTCGAATACAGGTCATTTCGGAATATATCGGAGTTTTCAAAATGTTGAATCAAGTCGAAAATCCACCTTAGAAGATGAGGATACATCTCCATCAAGTGCATTTACTTTATCGCTGTTTTCACCATTGAACGTGGCAGAGATAGAGCTTGGTGAGCCCAGAGTTCTGCTGATGCAAGAGTCTAATTCAGCAGAGCTTTGTGATTGAAGAGGCCTTCTAGTTGGAAGAACAGACCAAACATTCCTGACCACACTTAGCAAAATGTCATTAGTATTGTCCAATTTCTTCATCTTGTCTTTGCCCAAAGCAGGACACTCATAAGAGCCTTCAAGAAGTTTGTTCAATGACAAATCTTCAACGAGTTTGGTAACATCATTTATTTCAGGCTTCAGGCCATAGGCACCTGCATGTAGGGAAAATTAAGAGGTAGACACAACACTAGAAAAAGTAAGATCAGAGCATATCATGTGAGGAGGATATACTGACAAGACCTTGCCATATCAACAAGGTCACGATTAAATGAAAATAGTAGTGAAATGCACTGGTGCTATGACTCTCACATTGTCCTTTTGGTACCTTAGCGATACAAAGAATATGTCAGCCAATGAAATTTTCCAATTTGATGTTAGGGAGATTAAGAGAAAAGAAACTCAAAATCACCAAAAATAACCGAGAGAACCTCTAAAACTACCTCAGAACAGGTTCAATGGTAAATCACCACAAAGTTCAAACGATGCAATCAATATAACTGAAAGTATACAAGAAAAAGAATTAACTAGCCAAAGTAAATGGACTATGTTGAGGACTCATGGCTTAAAACTGGCACCATGCTATTGTTGGGTACCACGGGGCTGTGCTAGTTCAGAAACAGTGACATACCGAAAAATGCATTCTCGCCAGTAGCTGAATTGACGGTTGAAAAATTTCTGGTGGGAACTTTTGTATTTCTCTTATCACCTCGCCTGCCGTTACAGCTGCTTCGTTGCTTCACTGCTAGGGGTTTATCTATGTAGCATTCAACACAATATAAATAAGTAATCTAGCCAAGCCAAAGTTTACACACAAGGAAATCACGTGAAAATTGCAGATAAGGATTCTTATCAATTAGCAGCATCAAATTAGTCAAAAATTTTATCAGTCCAAGGCTCATGAAAGAAGAAAGTAAAAAGCCTGAGAGTTACCCGAGTGAGTAGATACTTGTCCACAAATCTCCTTAGTCTCATTTTCTCTGACTGTGTTCACCGTGTCATCTAAAAGAATCAATTTTGTCCTTTTCGAACTGACATTACTACTACTTCTCGAAAGTTTTCCTCTTTTCCTAGGAGACTCGGCACTTTCTGGACTGGCAATTGGTAGATAACCGTTTTGAGGCTCGGATGAATTCTCAACGCGAAGTTTGGTAAGCCTATCATGTACAAAGTCGTGTGAGTGCATTAATTTGCGCCATAACGATGAATCTGAAGCCCCACTGCTGCTTCCTGCTCCTGGATCAAGTAGAAGAGTATATAAACATCGGTACTGATTGATTGCAAAAGTCCTTATCAAACTTGAGCAAACGGAAAAACGCACAAACCTACAAGTAGCCAACGAATCTTTGAAAAGCTTGCAAATTTACCAAACTCACATATTGGATCTACAACTATAAACTGTACCCACTTCGTAACTATCCGATAAGTCTAAACTCAATACAAATTGAATAGACCCAGATGATTTCAAAAGTCAAATTAGAAAGGAGGCAGAACAAGAACACCAAAGGAGATTACAAAAAACATCAAATGAAGAGGTAATAAAAAAAGCATTAAAATTTAGCTGAACCTTTCTTGCTAATTGAAGCACTGCAACGCTCAATCGAAGAATTTACACCAATCGAGACACGACCCGTCTCACAGTTGTTATCTGCTTTGTTCGACGAAACCCTAACTCCACCACACCCTTCAGATCCCATAAGCTTAGCCGGCGGAAGAACGTCCACGGGAAAAGAAATCTCCAGACCATCCATCACCACCATGAGAAAACCAAATCGACGACGTCGCAACCGTGTAGGCTGCGAGACGAAGCCATCTCTTTAAAGCTAAACCCAGACAAGTTCGAAGCTTCGATCGAGCTAAATCGCAGAAATTCGTGGGAAAAAAGAACCAAAAAGGAAAGTGAGCTAAAAGAGTGAGATTGATTTGGGGATTTCTCTGATGGGGTGAAGAGGAAACGCAATAGTGCGGCTGCGTAAATCGTGGGATTTTTCTAGGGCAAATGAAATGAAGGGAAAAAGATGACTATTTATAGTTTTCGGGAAATTAACTTTGGGCATCTTTAGATAAGCCGTCGACGGTGAGATATTCCGGTGAGCTCGTTCGTACCCGGTAAGAATGACGTGGCGGATACATTAGACTGCGAAGCTTAGTGATAGAGTGCCGTTCGATACAGAATGGTGACGGGGATTTTATGATCTAGCGGCTTAGAAAATGCCACGTAGACAAGTGAATTTTCACTTGTTCATGTGATTTTTAGGTGAGTTTCCAGAAATGCCACTGGAGGGAGTATTCAGGTGTTGGCTTGGGCACGTAAATTTTATTTGACGATATTACCCCTTATCTGATTACGAACGCCGTTAGATTATGTAGATTTCGTTATACATATCTATTTTCTTTTATTAATTAATTAGAGATCACTTCAAGTCTTGAACAAGTCGCAATGATGAAAAACAATTTAAAGAATAATTACAAATACTTTTATATTGGCGAACGGATTTTATTTTATTTAATATAAATCAATCAACGTTTGGATCCGTCGGAGAGACAAATTGATGATAGGCCTAAGCAATATTTGATTGAACATGGCAAAAAATCGTAGAAATATTAGTTTAAATTTGTTTATACCCGAGCCAATTTGTTGAACCGAAAAAAAAAAAAAACTCGAGCCGAATAAAAATGTTGTAGTATCTGCAAACAATAGTGTTTAAATGTCAATTTCTGTTTAAAAAAATAAAGATAAAAGAAGTACTATACGTTTGGTCAAAAGACAAAGCCGTCCCTTCCGGTTCACACGAGCCGCACGTGTGTATCCTTTTCTCCTTCCCCGTCTCTAGCCCGATTCTGTCTAGGGCTCCGTCTTCTTAGCTTCACAAATCCTCTCTCTCTCTCTCTATTGATTCTGTTCAAAGAGGTGATTTTGAGCCACCTTGATCAGGAAGCTGAAGCTCGGAAACGGAAACGCTTATCTCACCCGGTGTTTCGACTTTTGATTCCTCTGGTGTTTCAGATTCGAGGGTTTTTGTTCGTCGCTTGTTTGAGGTTCTTTAGTGTTTGAATTTGATGGAAGATAGTGTGGTGGATGATGTTATAAAGAGATTATTGGGGGCGAAGAACGGGAAGACGACGAAGCAGGTGCAGTTGACGGAGGCGGAGATAAAACATCTCTGTTCGACGGCGAAACAGATCTTTCTGAGTCAACCAAATCTTCTGGAACTCGAGGCTCCTATTAAGATTTGTGGTATTGATTGATGATGAAGCAGAAACCTAAATAAATGATTTCTCTTCTTTCTTTTTATTTTTTTGGTTTACTCTGTCGTCTTTAAGTTCTTGATTTCGTTTGATGGCTTCTAACGAGAACTTGCGTAGAGTCTGTTGGTTATAGCTTGATTAAGGGATGGTGATGGAGATTGATAGCTAATCAGAGTGATTGGAATCTAGAGAAATGCATATGAAATTGGTCAAACTGCTGTTTTTTTTTTATGGAGGTGTTTCGTCAATAGCTAAGCAGAGCTGTTGAGATTTATACAAATGCATATGAACCTGGTGAATCTGGTGATTTAGATGAAGGTATTGGGTTACTTGATCAGTAATCATCAGTGAGATATCAAGTGAATTAGATATGATCATTGATCTTTATTTTGGATTGTTCTGTTCATTTACGCAGGAGGCTTAAAGAACAACTTTTTTTCACCTGCATATTTTCTTTCATTTTGCTGTATAGTGGTATCAGAAAGTTGCTAATGTAGTTGATTTGGGTTTTTTGCTCGGCTTCATTGCATACAGTAGCCTGTATTCTCGTGGCTTGAGTGTCTAGTGACATTAGCACTCTTATAACGGTGTTTTTTTCATGTTTTGACAGGAGATACTCATGGTCAGTTCTCAGATCTCTTGAGATTGTTTGAGTATGGTGGCTACCCACCGGCTGCAAACTATTTGTTCCTTGGGGATTATGTAGATCGTGGGAAGCAGAGTGTAGAGACTATATGCCTCCTTCTAGCCTACAAGATCAAATACAAAGAGAATTTCTTTCTTCTGCGAGGGAACCATGAGTGTGCTTCTATAAACCGCATATACGGATTCTATGACGAGTGCAAGAAGAGATATAGCGTTCGAGTGTGGAAGATATTTACCGACTGCTTTAATTGTCTCCCTGTTGCTGCTCTTATCGATGAAAAGATACTCTGTATGCATGGCGGGCTATCCCCTGAGTTGAAGCACTTGGATGAGATCCGGAACATCGCTCGTCCTGTGGACATTCCTGATCATGGACTACTGTGTGATCTGTTGTGGTCCGATCCCGACAAGGACATTGATGGATGGGGAGAGAATGACAGGGGAGTCTCTTACACCTTTGGGGTTGATAAGGTCGAGGAGTTTCTTCAAACACATGACCTTGACCTAATCTGCAGAGCTCATCAGGTACCTGAGGAAACTGTTCTCGACAAGTCAGAGCTGATGACTTTGCTAACTCTTGAAGAGTATAATCTTGAATTCTGTCTTTTAACCCATTCAAGTTTAATTGTTTTACCTATAGGTCGTGGAAGACGGGTATGAGTTCTTTGCAAATAGACAGCTAGTTACGATATTCTCAGCCCCAAATTACTGTGGAGAGTTTGACAACGCAGGTGCCATGATGAGTGTGGATGATTCCTTGACATGCTCTTTTCAAATCCTTAAAGCATCTGAAAAGAAAGGAAATTTCGGATTTGGCAAGAATGCAGGAAGACGAGGAACCCCACCTCGCAAGGTAAGGTTCTTTTAAAGCATGAAATGATAAAACTTTCTCGGGTTTTGATTCTTACGCATCTCATTCTTTTGTTTTTCTCTTTTAGGGTGGAAAAGGCTGAAGGCAATATCCCATAAACATTACTGTGTGTATGCAATGTTTCTTGGCTCAAAACACTTGCCTGAGCTCAAGTTATCATCAAACTGTCTTCTTCTGCTCTGAATCACTTTTGGCAAGGGGTATTCCTCCTGTATTTTCCCTTAACTTTTTTTCTCACGGAGTGAATATGAAATATCTGACTTTATATAATCTTTTGTATCTTTGAGCTATGTGAATCTGAGATATTATCTGTGAGATACACTTTGTGTTTTTTTTTGTGTTAATAAATAACCCTGAAAACTTGAACAAACCGGAACGTTTATTTAGTTTGGAAACTTTAACAAATGATAGGTCGATTCGCAAACCCTATGTGTCTTATATCTTCTCTATGTACATACCATTCACAATAAACAGAAAACGCTTGTGAGAGTATATGCTCGGAAGAAATAAACAGAAAACTCAAAAAGAATGATTGCTCAGACTATTCGCAATGGCAAGATCCTTTCTTTCAAAGATGAAGATAGAAAAACTTTGCACATTTTCAGAAACAGCAATTACTCCATTCATAAAAGACATGCTATTGAATGTCTTCCTAAGTAGGTATTCAAATGAAGGTCTTTTGCGAGTAGTTCCTCAATCAAAGGAAGGAAGGGGTTAACTGGGATATCAGAGTAATTTTAAATCAAACTTTAATTAATTGAATACCCGTTGAATAAGACATTCAAGATAATGTCTTTTAAGAGTATGCCAAAATTTCATTATATATTTTAGGTTGTACAGCGTACTATACAACTACATACGGTGAATTCTCGATTCTTAGAAATTAGAATACATGCCATTGAACCACCGTGTGCTATGAATAGAGAATCCACCATATGCATATTTGTACCTTACGCAATTAAGATCTTAGTGAAATAATGACGCAAGAAATCCAGCATGTGTGGTCAATTTCTTTCTCTTTGCCACGAGAACACAGCAAAAAATGTCATACAAAAAAATTAGCTAGATAAAAAGACGTGAGTTTTGAAGTTTAATAAACAAGTTTACATTCATTATGAAATAGCTCCATAATGTATTTTAGATGTTTATTTTTACTACTCATATCATGCATGTTGAATTGAACACATGACTTTGCATTTATATATCTTTTTTAAAAAAAATATTATTCGAAGTAGGAAAAAAGTTAGTATGTTATTCCGTGAGACATACGGGAAATAACAACTTGTAATTTTTTAAAAAATTTTTACTTCTTTTATCAATAATTTTGTTATAAAGTAATGAAATACTGTAAGTAATTTCCAGTAATGGAGTACAACTCCACCTCTATACAAAGGGTTGAGGAAGTAATGATAAGAATTACGTGTTTTTTTTTTTTGGCAAACCAGTACGTGTTCATTTTATGAGAACAATATATTATTGAGGCTTATGATAATTTCAAGGTCACTGAACTTACCATACCAACAAGGCGATGCTGCATGCCTGCGTGATACCAACCAAATATTTCTTTGTGACTTCAGATGATGGATGAAACGGCACGCCGTTTCTTTTTTGCAAACTTAACAAATTGATAAAATGGCACACTGTTTCGTTTGGAAACTTAAACAAACATTCGCAAAACCCTAGTTCTATCTTCATTGATCAGAAATTAGGTCTCTTAATTATATCTTCTTCTTCTTTTTTTTTCTCTCTCTCTATATATATATATATATATTTATAGACACACATAGATAGATGTATGTGAGAGTATATGCTCAGAGGAGATAAACAGAAACACGTAAAAAAGATGATTGCTCGACGATTCGCAATCGCAAGCTCCTTCCTTTCAAAGATGAAGATACACAAACTTAGCACATCTTCAGAAACGGCAGATCCATTTCTCTCAAAGATGAAGAAAAAGCAAGAGGTAAGAAAATCAGAAGCAATCGAAATTCCATCTCTATCAAAGAAGGATTTGCGAGAAGCATTGAAAAAGCAAAACGACGCCGACATGGTCCTTATGCGTCAAGTAATCGCTTCCGAAGGAACAAAGTCAAACTTCATCTTCTCTCCGGCATCACTTAACGCCGCCTTCAAGTCTACCGGCTCCGGGTCCAGTTCCGACGAGCTTAACGCCGTCTACAGCGAAATCGCTACGGTAGCGCGACCGGTGGCCACAAGATCACGGCGATTAACGGCGTTTGGGCCGAGCAATCACTACCGGTTGCTAATTCGTTGAAGGATCTCTTTGTGAATGTCTTCAAGGCTACTTTCACTCTACTTCTGGATACATATGAAATTTAAAAAATGATTATAATGAAATTCTTACAGCCAGATAGTTTTTTTTTTTGGTATAAATGTTAAGAGTACAGCCAGATAGTTGAATACCTCGAGTTGATTTTCTTAGTATAATTAATGCTTTAAGATTTTTTTGTTGTTGTTTAGGGTTTTAGACCATTTAAAACATATTTATATGACAGTAATAATAAAGATCAATGATATTTCCGGAATAAGAGAAGATTTGTACATCGGCTTCGTTGAATTCATTAAACATAGAGTGTTTAGAGGACTTATAATTTTGTCTGTGTATGCTAAATTATAGGACTTATAATACCAAGAAGAGAAGATTAGCACAAAAGCTATTTGAATGATTCATGTTTTGAAAAACCGAATCTGGAATCTATGCAATTAATTGGAACTAATACTGACATATATGTTTTACTGTCTTCAAGGCTGAACAAGTACGCATGGAGGTGAATAAATGGGGTTTCAAATCACACCAATGGTCTCATCAACAATATTCTTCGTGGTGGATCCGTTACATGCGACACCGAGTGGATCTATGGAAATGCGCGCATTGTACTTCAAGGGAGCTTGGGAACACAAATTCCCCAAGTATTTGACGAAAGACAGAGACTTTCACCTTCTCAATGGCACCTAAACACCTCAGTCTCTGATCACATTCCTGTTGGTCGTATAATTGAGTTTAGTTATGTTAATTATACAAACAGTTATACAGTTAGAGTCAAAGGACGTGTGTGTCTATGTGTCAAGAGTCGTGTCTTGTTAGTGTGTCAGTTATGTCCAAATAGAAGAGTTGCATCTCTTCACTTAGTGTCTGTTGTTTTAGTTTATAAGTATAACGATGTCGTGATGTAAAAACACAAGTTTGATATTCAATAAAGTCTCTGTTTCTTTACATACTCTGTTTATCAAACGATTAACATGGTATCAGAGCCCTACTGATTCAAGGGCCAAATTCAAGTAAAAAAAAAAAAAAAAAAAAAATCAGAGAGTGATGGAGATGATGTCGCATATCGTGACACCAATCTTCAATGGTGAGAATTATGGATTTTGGCGTATCAAGATGAAGACAATCTTCCAGACGAAGAACCTGTGGGAAGTTGTCGAAGGAGGAGTTCCAAATCCACCTGTACAAGGTGATCACAGTCCTGAAGCAATTTTACAGAAGAATCGAAGTGATGAGGCAGTTCTACAAGACTTAACTGCATTACAAATTCTTCAAACAGCAGTCTCGGATTTCATATTTCCTAGAATTGCTCCTGCATCAAGCGCAAAAGAGGCTTGGAATGCTTTGGAGATGGAGTTTCAAGGATCTCCACAAGTAAGGATGATAAAGCTTCAATCACTGAGAAGAGATTATGAAAATTTGAAGATGAACGAAGATGATAATGTCAAGGTTTTCACGGGAAAGTTAATTGATTTGGCAAATCAATTGCGAGTCCATGGAGAGGAGAAAACAGATTATCAAATTGTTCAAAAACTTCTCATCTCTCTTCCTGCAAGGTTCGACAGCATCGTGGCTGTGTTAGAACAGACGAAGGATCTACAAACATTGGCTGTGACAGATTTAATCAGCACACTTCAAGCACAAGAAAATCGTTTCTCATTACGATATGAGAATTCAACAGAAGGTGCGTTCAATGCACAATCAAGAGGAAAGAAATCTGATTTCAAAAGGGAAAACAGATTTGGTGAAAATCAAGTAAAAGAAAAATGGTGTGATGTCTGCAAGAAAGACAACCACACAGAGGCAGATTGTTGGAGGAAACAAGGTTCAAATGTTCAAAAAAAGGGTTCGAAGAAGAAGAAGAGATGTTACAACTGTGATAAGACAGGACATTTCTCAAGGGATTGCCCTCTAAAGAAACATGAACGAGCACACATGAGTCTTGAGGAAGAAGACGATGAAGACGAAGGTCACATGCTCTTCAGTGCAAGTGAAGAAACACCAACAATCACCAAAGAAGAAGTATGGTTGGTAGACAGCGGTTGTACCAATCATATGACAAAGGAGGAGAAATACTTTATCAAATTGGATAGAAGTATTAAGGTTCCAATTAAGGTTGGAAACGGAGAAGTTGTAATGACAGCAGGCAAAGGCGACATTGCTATCATTACAAACAAAGGAAAACGAGTCATTAAAGATGTTTTCCTTGTACCTGGATTAGAGAAGAATCTACTAAGTGTTCCACAAATAATATCTCATGGATACCGTGTCATGTTTGAAGACAAGCGGTGTATAATCTTAGATCCTATGGGGAAAAAGATTATGGAGATTAAAATGGTTCACAAGAGTTTTCCAATAAAATGGAATTCTTCTCAAGAAAGTGCTATGAATGCTCGTGAAGAAGAAGACATGGAGTTATGGCATAGGAGATTGGGTCACGTGGGAAATTCAAGAATTCAACAAATGCAAAAGAAGAAGATGGTGGATGGCTTACCAAAATTTCAAGTGAACAAAGAATTGTGTGGAGCATGTAAACTTGGAAAGCAAGCAAGAGATGCGTTTCCGAAGGAGTCTCATACAAAAACAAAGGAGAGACTTGAACTTGTTCACACCGACGTTTGCGGTCCGATGCAAACTGAGTCACTTGATGGAAGTCGATATTTCTTATTGTTCGTAGATGATTATACTCACATGTGTTGGGTATATTTTCTCAAGAACAAGTCTGAAGTTTTCTCGATGTTTAAAAAGTTCAAAGCCTTGGTGGAAACTCAATCAGTTTGTAAGATCAAGAGACTTCGATCTGATGGCGGCGGTGAATTTACTTCAAGTGAATTCATCAAATTCACTCAACAATGCGGAATCGAGAGACAAGTAACAGTGCCGTATTCGCCTCAACAAAATGGTGTAGCGGAACGTAAAAATCGTTCATTGATGGAGATGGCACGGACCTTAATTACGGATCAAGGACTTCCATATAAATTATGGGCAGAGGCGGTGTATACGTCGGCATATTTGCAGAATCGATTACCCACAAAAGCCATAGAAGATGACATCACACCTATTGAAAAGTGGAGTGGTCATAAACCGACAGTTGGACACTTGAAGATCTTTGGAAGTTTATGCTTTGTACACGTGCCCAATGAGAAGAGAAGAAAATTAGATGAAAAGGCCAAACGTGGAATCTTCATTGGTTATAGTAGCCAATCAAAAGGCTACAGAGTTTTCATCTTAGAAAGTGAGAAAGTGGAGATATCAAGAGACGTGGCATTTGAAGAAAGAAAGAAGTGGGATTGGGATAGAAAAGAAGAAATCAAGAGAAACTTTATCGTACCCGTGAATAATTTACAAGCACAAGGAGATCATGTCGAAAATATCTCCAGCCCTGTTTTATCTCAACTTGGTAATCAAGATCACGATAATGAAGAAGACGCCTCAACATCTCCTCAACCGCCAAAGAAATTCAGATCCATGACAGAAATAATGCAAGTCGCACCTATGGTGGATCTTGAAGAAGCGGCTCCAGCCTATGAAGCATGCCTTCTTGTAACAGAGGAACCACAAACCTATGATGAAGCCTCAGAGATTGCAGAATGGAGACAAGCCATGGAAGAAGAAATCAACATGATCGAAAAAAACAGAACATGGCTACTTGTGGAGAGACCAAAGGAAAAGAACATCATTAGCGTGAAGTGGATATATCGTCTCAAGACAAAAGCTAATGGTGATCCACTTAAGTACAAGGCAAGGTTAGTTGCAAGAGGTTTCTCTCAAGAATATGGTGTTGATTACCTTGAAACTTTTGCACCAGTTTCAAGACATGACACAATCCGGGCAATCCTTGCTCTCTCGGCACAAATGAAGTGGAAACTTTATCAAATGGACGTGAAGTCGGCGTTTCTCAATGGAGAACTTGAGGAGGAGATCTATGTAGCACAACCTCCTGGATTTGTGATTGAAGGAGAAGAAAGAAAGGTGTTAAGGCTGAAAAAAGCTTTATACGGCTTAAAACAAGCCCCTAGAGCTTGGTATGGAAGGATAGATTCATATTTTCTTCAACATGGATTTCAAAGAAGTATGAATGATGCAGCTCTATATGTGATGAAGAAAGGAAAAGAGATCTTGATCGTGAGCCTGTACGTAGACGATATCATCATCACGGGTAACAATTCTCAACTCATTGAAAAATTCAAAGAAGATATGAAGATGGAGTTTGAGATGACCGACTTGGGGCTGCTAAATTATTTTCTGGGAATGGAAATAATTCAAGATGAATATGGAGTTTTTCTGTCACAAGAAAAATATGCCAATAAGCTTGTTGAGAAGTTTGGAATGAAAGGATGCAAGAATGTAAGCACACCACTTACACCAAACGGCAAGAAGATTGAAGATGATGAAGAATATGGTGAACCAACAAAATTCAGAAGCATCGTTGGAGGGCTGTTATATCTTTGTGCATCAAGGCCAGATATAATGTTTGCAAGCTCTTATCTCTCACGTTACATGTCAAAGCCGCTGAACAAACACTATCAAGAAGCCAAAAGAGTTCTAAGGTATGTCAATGGAACGTCTCACTTTGGAGTTCAGTTTTCAAGTGTCAAGTATCCAGAACTGCAAGGATATTCAGACAGTGATTGGGGAGGATCAAATGAGGATAAGAAAAGTACATCCGGGTATGTTTTCTCTCTCGGATCTTCTGTCTTCTGTTGGAACTCTAGTAAACAGCAAACAGTGGCACAATCAACGGCGGAAGCAGAGTATATCGCCGTGTGTTCAGCAACAAATCAAGCAATTTGGTTACAAAGACTTATGGAAGATATAGGCTTTGATTCTCAAGAAGGAGTTCCAATTTTCTGCGACAACAAATCGGCAATTGCCATTGGGAAAAATCCTGTTCAGCATCGAAGAACAAAGCATATCGAGATTAAGTATCATTTTGTTCGTGAAGCTGAACACAAAGGTCTTATAAAGCTCAAGTATTGCGAGGGTGAAATTCAACTTGCGGATCTGCTTACTAAAGCACTTAGCAACAGAAGGTTTGAAGAACTAAGGAGCAAGCTTGGTGTGGGACCGAAACTCAATTAAGGAGGAGTGTTGGTCGTATAATTGAGTTTAGTTATGTTAATTATACAAACAGTTATACAGTTAGAGTCAAAGGACGTGTGTGTCTATGTGTCAAGAGTCGTGTCTTGTTAGTGTGTCAGTTATGTCCAAATAGAAGAGTTGCATCTCTTCACTTAGTGTCTGTTGTTTTAGTTTATAAGTATAACGATGTCGTGATGTAAAAACACAAGTTTGATATTCAATAAAGTCTCTGTTTCTTTACATACTCTGTTTATCAAACGATTAACAATTCCCAGGTGGAGAGTTCAAGTTGGTGAATTCAGGATCCCAAAGTTTAAGATATCTTTCGGGTTTGAGGCTTCAAGGGTTTTTAAAAGATTAGGATGGGATGAAGATGAAATGGCTTTGTACCGTAAAGCTTGTGTCGAGATCGATGAAGAAGGCGCTGAAGCTGCTGCTGCCGCCGCTATTTGTGTGCCAGTAAGTTTGACTAATTATAAGGTAGATTTCGTGGTTGATCATCCATTTCTTTTCTTGATTAGAGAAGACACAACCAGAACCGTTTTGTTCGCTGGTCAGATATTTGATCCTTCCATATCCTCTTAACCGAGGGCTCAGCTCAGGTTTAATCGGGCTTTGGTCTGGATTTGGTTCTTCGGATCGTTTTATTTGTTCGGTCGGTTTTTCATATTTTTCTATCAACAAAATTATTATTCATAAAGTTTGGTATTTTTTTTTTAACAATGGTAGTATTTTATATTTTAGTAGCTTCGTATAGGTTATAATTTTCTTAGTGATCTTTTAATTGATTTGAAGCTTAATTCGTTTGACATTATTGTGTGTGTTCAATGTTTCTTACTTTCTTGGCTCAGAATACTTGCTTGAGGTCAAGTTATCATCAAACTATGTCTTCTTGTGCCCGGGATCACTTTTGGCAAGGGGTATGCCTGTCTTTTAACTTCACTTTTTTCTCACGGAGTGAACATGAAATATCTGACTTCATATAATCTTGTATCTTTGAGCTATGTGAATCTGAGATATTATCTGTGAGATACACTTTGTGTTGTTTTTTTTTTTGTTTGTTGATGAAAACCCTGAAAACTTGAACAAACCGGCACGTTTGTTTGGTTTGGAAAATTTAACAAATGATATATAGATCGATTCGCAGAACCTAATTATCTTATATCTTCTCTGTATGTATCTATATACAGGACTATTCGCAAAATAAAAAACAGAAAACTTTTGTGAGAGGACATGCTAAAAAGAAATCAACAGAAAACGTAAAAAAGATGATTGCTTGACTATTCGCATTCGCAAGATCATTCCTTTCAAAGATGAAGATACAAAAGCTTAGCACATCTTAAGAAACAACACAACTCTCTTAGCAATAACTTTATTCATAAAAGACATGCTGTTGAATGTCTTCCTGTAGCAGGGATTCAAACATGCCAAGGAAGACATACAATTGCATGTCTTTTATGAATGGAGTTATTGCTTAGAGAGAATGTGCCAAAAGTTCATTATATCTCCAAGGTTTTACAACTACACACGGTGAATTCTCGATTCTTAGAATACATGCATGCCACTGAAACCATGTGCTATGAATAGAGGATTCACCATGCATTACAAGAAAACTAGCTAGATGAAAGAAAGATGTGTTTATTTGGATGAGAGGGAGAAGTGTTAACATTCACAGTCTCCATATTTTCTAGTTTTAATGATTCTTTTCTCATAAGACTATGTATTTATACCCAAAATTGTCAAGATATTTTATCAACAATATCATCTGAAAATTTAAGAACAAAAATTTAATACTACATTTTTAGGTAATATATTAAATATTTGTCAAGTCAAGGTCAAAATTTTACAATTTAAAATTTTGGTACGTTAGTTATGATTATATTAAAAAAATAATTTAGGCACGTTATTAATTTTGGTTGAATAGATATTTTTTACTGATCCCGGTAGTCAAACTGAAACTAATTGAAAATTTTAAATATTTCCAAATTTGATATATAATGAGTCATATATAAATTTAATAGTTTACACCTTTTTTAAGTATTGTTATTTGTTTCTCGTACTTTACGTGTGTTTCCAATTTTGTTAATTTCCATTTTCTTAAAACACAATTTTATTTAGGGTTTGATTTTTTTTTTTTTAATATGGTTTGAAAATTTTATATAATTATATTGGCATATGTCACAATATAAATTAACAATGACACATAATGATAATGATATGGTGAGTTATAATTATCATTTATATGTGTTATGCTCACATTTGAGCGATTCAGTTTTATATACTAAGATTAATTGATAGAGATGGTTAAATTTCAACGGAGTACGTATATTACTCCAACTCCATACAAAGGGTTGAGAAAGTAATAATAAGAATTGATGATTTAAGATACAAGAATTACGTGCATGTATTTTTGCAAACCAATACGTGTTACTTCATGCGAACAATATATTGAGGCTTACGATGGTATCCAAGGTCCTTGTGTATGCATTCATGCATGATACCAACCGAAAATTCCTTTGTGACGTCACCAGTATAAAACGGTACTCCGTTTCGTTTGCAAACTTAACAACGGCACGCTGTTTCGTTTGGAAACTTTAACAAAGATTCGCCAAACCCTAGTTCCACCTTCATTGATCAGAAACAAGATCTCTTTATATCTTCTATATATATATATATATATATATATATATATATTATGTGCGAGTATATGCTCAAAAGAAATAAATAGAAAACGTAAAAAGATGATTGCTCGACATAACGCAATGGGAAGCTCCTTCCTCTCAAAGACTTAGCACATTTAAGAAACAGCACATCTGCATGCCCTTGAATGTCTTCCTGTAGCAGGTATTCAAACATGCCAAGGGAGACATACAATAGCATGTCTTTTATGAATGGAGTTATTGCTTAATTAGAGAGAATGTGCCAAAAGTTCATTATATCTCCAAGGTTTTACAACTACACACGGTGAATTCTCGATTCTTAGAATACATGCCATTGAACCACCTTGTGCTATGAATAGAGAATCCACCATGCATTACAAGAAAACTAGCTAGAAAAAATAAATATGCGATCAGTTTATTTGGATGAGAGGGAGAAGTGTTAACATTCACAGTCTCCATATTTTTTAGTTTTAATGATTTTTTTTTGGAATAACTAAAAATATAGGACAAATAAACACAACTATTTTTTCCTTATTACTTATGTAGTAAATTTTGTCTCCTTAATACTTCTACAAATAATTTAACCTCTTCTACCCTTCTACATCGAATTTACCCATAATAATAAAAATTTATAATACAAAATTTAAACATATTAAATTAAAATAGATAAAAAGTAAAAAAAATATTTACCCTTACACTTTGTAGAATCCACCTCCTACCATCATCTTCTTCGACGGGACAAAAAAAAAAGTCAACGTCGGTCTTCTTCTCTCCAGGGTAGTCTCCGCTGGAACTTCTTCTCTATTTGATGTGTGCTGTCGTAAGGGTGTCAAGTTTTATCCTAAATGAAATCAATAGCCGCAAGTGCACAGCTGATCGATTGTAGTACTTAGGGATCGAATCCACAGGGAAGGAAGATCTATCATGCAAAAGTCTTCGAAAGAAATATAAAGTAAGGAAGTTTAGAACCAGATGATTTTTGTGAGGGTTTTGGTGGTGTCTTTAAAACTTAAAAACTAATCTTAAAGAGAAAATACGGGAATTAAAATGACCTAATAACTAATCTTAACGAAAACGACTAAAAACGAGAAAAACGGCTAAACCTAATTGCTTAAATGAAAATTGATTGAAAGAGTAAAGATATTAGACTAAAACTTGAATGAAAATCGGTGTAACTCTATAGAAAAGAAGGCGCTGGGTTTCAAGGAACTTTTCTCAGGGATATGAACGATTCAAAACATTGCTAGAGAGTAAATTTGATAAGATCTTAGCTTAAACTTTTCGAACTGGAGTCACAGACGTATGAATACGCCACTATCGTGATCATAGACAACTATTTCTCTCAACCCTGACCAGTATGTTTCCACTCTGGTCCTGGAAGAGAAGAGATGCATTATGTTTAAGACTCGTCAACATTCACAAATCGCCCACAGGTAGGTTTCCACTCCTATGTTTGTTTTGCTCTCCCAAACTAGATCTGACACCGGATGAACACTTTCGTGTCACCAAGCATCTGGATCAGATTGTAGTTCATGACACTACTCTCATGCAGTAAAAACGAATTCAGAAGAAAAAGTTCTAAGATTTGGCTTCAATAGCTCATGAAATCCTCATCGAACATGTGTATCCCCATCGAAAATCCCTTAGACCCAACAATAAAACTACTCAGACATGATGAACGAAATCAAAAACATAGTATTAAAAAGTAGAATAGAAACCGAAATTGAAAAAGAAAGAACAATGGTTCAAGAGATAGATATCTTTCTCCCTAAAACCTAAAACATAAAAAGTATTCTAAAACAATAAGAGCATATGAGGTGATACGAATTAGGATTCCTAAAACATGTACTTATAGTGCTCAAGACATCTCTGAGCGTCACTTAGGGTTTTTCCAAATGAGGGAATCATTTTGGGCTTCAAAAATGGGCCTTCGGGTTTGGAGTTGGCTGGCTGCGGTCGGGAAGTGCGTGACCGCGGAGAATGGATGGCTGGCCGCGGTCGGGAAGGTTGTGACCGCGGGGAATGGGCTGTTGGCCGCGGGGAATGGGCTGTTGGCCGCGGGTGGAAACGCTTGCCGGCTGGTTTACGAGACATCTTGCTCTTCACGTATCTTTTGATTGAACCGTTGGATTGCCAAGCTGTAAAGTGTGCTGGAAAGCTGATACTTCCATTGTTAAGATCTCCAAATTTGAGCTGGATCAGACGGTGAAAAAGCCTTCAATCGGAGGTGAACTTCTGACGGTTTGACTCTTTGCTCTTCTATCCATTTTGTTAAGCTTTTCCCTATTCCTGAAAAGAGTTTTGGAACTATAAATACTAGGAAAACGTAATAAAAATATTTGAAAGCAATTAAAAACATAGAAAAAGTATTTCAAATCGATCCATAAAAGTGGTCAAAATACGGTGTTATATCACTATTTCACTCCGGTAAGTCTAAATCAACCGCCATCCTCCTATTATCTCGTCTGCTTAATCCTTCTTTGCTATTTTGTTTCCATCGATTGCATTGTTAGGGTTTGTTTAATCCCAAATTCCACTCTTTCTTCAAACCCGATTTCCAGAGAACCACATGTCACGAAGGTATGTAACATATTTTAAGGTAATTAGAAAAAATCAGAATACTTAAAAAACTGTGAAAAAACGTGAGAGTAGGTGGAAAAATGTCGCCAAAAAAATTTCCTAAATTTTTTTTTAAAAAAAATAAATTTGGAAAAATATAATTTGAAAAGAAAAAATATATTCCCTAGATCTAATCCTAGATTCTCGGAGATTTAGTTAACCGCTTTGTAGAATTAGTATTCTATAATTGTAGAACAAAAAGTTTACTATAGAAATAAAAATCTATTAAGTTGTAGAACGAAGAGTTTACTATAGAAATAGAATTCTACTAAGTTGTAGAAAAATGAACATGTTGTAGAATACGGTTTCATAACTTTGTAGAATATAGAGAAAACTGTAGATGACAAATTCTATATATTTCGTAGAAAACTATTGAATTAGTAGATACCTTATTCTACAAATTTATAGTTTTATTGAATATGCTTTCTATTAATTTGTAGAACAGTGGTAAAAAATTTGTTTCCAAAAAAGTAGTAGAAAATGTATTTGTCTTTCTTTTTCAGAATTTTCCCAATTTTTTTAGATTTTAAAAGTATTTTTTAATATTTCGTAATTATTTAAAAATTGTATATAAGTCCAAAAATGGTATAATTTGAAAAAATACTAAGGGGACAATACTATAGTTTTTTTGTCCTATAAACACAATTGTCCTTTCTTTTTTTGATAACTAGGAGGTTTTGGGCCGAAACCTGTAATCCCCACAAGTTCGAAACCACAACATGTAATATTAGTTTTGTCCCAAAAGCCACTCGAATCAAGGATCTCTAGATTTTGTGTTTGCCTGAGATCTTTATCAATTGAGCTATTGGCTTTTGGTTTTAATGATTTTTTTCTCATAAGACTATGTATTTATACCCAAAATTGTTAACATATTTTATCAACAATATCAAATGAAAATAACAAATTTTAATACTACATTTTTAGGTAATATATTAAATATTTGTAAAGTCAAGGTCAAATTTTTACAATTTAAAATTTTGGTGGTTAGTTATTATTATATTCAAAAACAATTTAGGCATATTATTAATTTTGGTTGAAAAGATATTTTTATTACTGAGTTTTGAAGGTAATATATTAAATATTTGTAAAGTCAAGGTCAAAATTTAGAATTTTAAATATTGGCGCATTAGTTATTATATAGTAAAACCTCTATAAATTAATACTCTATAAATTAATAATCACTATAAAATAATAAATTTTGCCGGTCCCAAGTCGGGCCAATGTAAAATTCAATCAAATTCGATAAGATAATAAGATAATAATTTTTTTTGAAATCCCTATGTAAATATATGGTCCTAACAAAAACATAAATTAATAATTATACAAATTTATGTAAATATATATAATATACTATACTAAAATATGACTAATGTATTTTTTTTACTTAAAGTTGAAATTTCATTGGTGTTTATCTTTTTACTTAGTACATTTCTATCTCTTATTTTTGTTTTTCTATATACATTCAAATTTGTGAAGATTTTTTTGATGTGATAATTGATTTTTTTACACGTAATTGTTTACAAATGTATTGTAGTATTGTCTTTAATTTCATCTTTTTGATAATAGCCATAGTTTCTTATAAATTTTGAATTTTTAAACATGTATATTTTTAATAGACAAATTAATATACTATTAAAAACTTTTTTGTTATGATAACTATGTTTATTAATCATAATTTTTAATAAGATATTTTCTTAAATTCTTAAATATAACATTATTCAAAAAAAAAATGTTTAGAAGATTATAGGCGAAAACCAGATTATCTCTATAAATTAATAATTATTAATTTATAGATAAATTAATATCACGATAAATTAATAAAATTTCATGGTCCCAACATTATTAATTTATAGAGGTTTTACTGTATTATGAAATTTTTTTAGCGCATTATTAATTTTAGTTGAAGAGTTATTTTTTATTCTACTGTCTTATGAGTCTTCGTGTCAAAAGGTTCCACCTGCACTATGCTGAAGATCTCATGTGAATTTGGCTCCATTAATTTGCATAATTGATAATAATCTTATTTTTTGGGATTCAAAAATCAAAACTTTAATAAACCTTTGACAAATCATTGGGCTTCCACGAAGAGAGCTTCCACGAAGAGTTGTTTTTTGGGCTTGTTTTTTTAGTACTGAGTTTTGAAGTCTAATAAACAAGTATGCACTCATTATGAAATAGCTCCATAATGCCATTATAGATGTTGATTTTTATTAGTCATATCATGTTGGATCTTCAACACATGATTTTGCATTTATAATTTCTTAAAATTTTTGTTATTTGAAGTAAAAAAAAGTTAGCAAGTTATTCCAACATACGGAAAACAACATTTATGTAATTTTTAAAAAAATGGGTAAACCTTTTATCAATAGATTTTGTGATAAAGTAATGAAAGAAGTAATACTGTAATAGTAATTAGTAAATATTGCAAGATCGACATAATGTATGGGTAACAAATCAATTAGGCATCATGAATATGAAATCTATACGTTATATCAATTGATAGAGTTGGTTAATTTACGACGGAGTAGTAGTATAGTACTCCACCTCCATATAAACGGTTGAGAATAATAAAAATCTATTGGACTACCATACCAACAAGGCGATGATGCATGATACCAACCGAAAATTTCTTTGTGACGTCCTATGGATAAAACGGCACGGGCGTTTCGTTTGCAAACTTAACAAATTGATACAAACGGCACGCTGCTTCGTTTTGGAATTTTTAACAAAGATTCGCAAAACCCTAGTTCTATCTTCACTTATCAAAACCCTAGGTCTCTTAATTATGTATACTAGATTTGTACCCGCGCATACGGACAGGTTTTGTTTCACATAATATTTTTAAAAATATGTTTGTGTTGATATATAGTTAATTATACGAATATGGTAATTTGTTTGATTGTTTAGTATTAGGTTTTTTAAAAATAAATTCTTTGTAAAACAAATAACTTTTTTTTTAAGATTGGAAGTATGGTAATTAGAAAAATTATACTACTATTCTAGAAATTATAAACATGATATGAGTAAAAAAGACGTACAAAGACTCTCAGTTGAGGTATCCGCCATCACGAGTTCGAGTCCCGGCCACTGCGGAATTCACATATGGGCTGCAGCGTCCCAGGAGCCGACACGTGGAGTGCCATTTAGCCGGCCACGTGGCTAGTCTGGACCCACTCCGGTGGGAGCCAGGACACTTGAGTTATCAAAAAAAAAAAAAAAAGACGTAGATAAAAGTCATATTTTCTGTTGAATTGCTTGAAAACATATAATTACCTCTAATTTTTAATGTTCTCAAATTTATGACATGTACAATTGCCTTGATTCTGCAAAAACCACCCCATAATTTATGTTTCACAATAAAATGCAGCTATAATAATATTATATTTGATCCATAAAAACCACCAAATCTTTGAATGAAAATAACGCTACATCTTTACATTTTTTCATACAACAAGCTTCGAAAAAAGTGTTTATGATGAGGATAAACCGGAAGAAAAAATATCAAGTTAGTATAAAAAAAATATTAAAAAGTTTTAGACGAATACCAAAAAGTTAGAAATGTAAAATGTTATAAATGTTATTTATTTATTTTTGTTAGGAATGTGAAAAGCCTTAATAGTTATGAACATAAATACATATGAAATAAACATTGAATAGATAGTTAAGTTACAAGTAGTGGTATTAATTAGTTTTTAATTTTTTGTTTTAAAATTTATGATTTATTAATTAGATGAATGGACAGGTGTCCTCCATTCAGATGCTGATGTGACAGCAAGATGGAGAGAGTTCACCTAAAATCATACCCGCGCATACGCACAGGTTTTATTTCACATAATATTTTAAAAAATATGTTTGTGTTGATATATATATATATATATATATATATATATATATATAGTTAATTATAAGAATATGATAATTTGTTTGATTGTTTAGTATTAGGTTTTTGAAAAATAAATTCTTTGTAAAACAAATAACTTTTTTTTAAAGGATTGGAAGTATGGTAATTAGAAAAATTATTCTACTATTCTAGAAATCATAAATATGATATTAGTTAAAAAGATGTAGATAAAAGTCATATTTTTCCGTTTGAATTGCTTGAAAACATATAATTACTTCTGATTTTTAATGTTCTCAAATTTATGACATGTACAATTGCCTTGATTCTGCAAGAACCACCCCATAATATATGTTTCACAATAAAATATACCTATAATAATATTAAATGTGATCCATAAAAATATAGCTACATTTTTACATTTTTTTCATACAACAAGCTTCGAAAAAAGTGTTTATGATGAAAATAAACCGGAAGAAAAATATCAAGTTAGTATAGAAAAATATTTAAAAATTTTAAGACGAATACCAAAAAATTAGAAATGTTGTTTATTTCTTTTTGTTAGGAATGTGAAAAGCCTTAATATTAATTAATGTAACTTAATAGTTATAAATATTAATACATATGAAATAAACATTAAATAGAATAGTTAAGTTAGAAGTAGTGGTATTAATTAGTTTTTAATTTTTTATTCAAAATTTATGATTTATTAATTAGATGAAAGGATAAGTGTCCTCCATTTAGATGCTGATGTGGCATCAAGATGGAGAGAGTTCACCTAACATCATATATACTAGCATCTGCTTCCTGCGCAACACAAGAACACCAAATTGAAAAGCCAGTTACTTAAGCCACGTAGAGATCCTAATAGGCTACTTCTATGTCTCTAAGCGAGAGTGATACATTTTCCAAGTTATAGCATAAGCAAACATATGTCCAAGCTTAGGATAACTAAGGAGTCAAAATAGTGAGTATACCTAGCACATTCATTAGTGTGTGAGATTTTTGATCTGCAGCGTCATGTACTCAACCACTTCTTTCAGTGTGGCTCTTCTTTTTTCTTTGAGATTCCACAGTTGCGGGACAGGATACCGACCACTTGCATTAAACTCATTCAGCTCCTCGAGTGCTGTCTTAACCGCGTTCTTCACATTTTCTCCCCACTCTTCTCTCAGACTCTTAAGTTGCTTATCTTCTTCATAAACCACTTCCTGCACCATATCCATATAACAACAGCACTATCAGAATGAAGAAACATAAAATGGGACAGAGAGATAGAATCTCGATGGAACAAAGAGACATATCAAACCTGCATTTGGTCTCCTGTCCCTACTCGTTTGAATGGGTGCCATGCTGCAACCTTGAGGTTTTCCTGCCATTTCGAGAAAAGCATGGCGTGTTGCACATCAGCTTCTTCCCCAGTGAATCTCTCTTTGCATGCTTTTATGAACGGCTCCTCATCAAGCTCTCCCATCTTCTTTATTGTGATGCTGGTTCGATCACTCACCAGTTCTCTCAATTCCTGCACAAACCCAATAAATGTAGACAATTTCATCACTCACAGCTAAGGTGCCACAGAGACCGTTGGAACTATTCACAGATTATGGACTATATATCATGGTGAGTATTTGTTTGACCATGTCACCAACAACATTTCACCCGCACATATTATACCAGCACTAAAGAACATGGAAGCATTCAAATTATATACCTTGATCAATGCTTCCCGGGCGTCTTGTAACTCAGCATTGCTTTGGCGTTCTTTTATTACGAGGGCCCATTCAATACACTCTAGATTTTCTAACTCAAAACACTTCTCCTCCAACTCTTCATTCATGACTTGCAGCTTTCCTTTCAGCTCCTGAGTTTCCATTTCAAGTTTGTCCTTGCAGTCTAACTCCTTCTCAAGCTGATGGATCTTGTTCAAAGTCTCTTCTTTTTCCTTCTGAGTTAAGAAAGAATATAGTTCCAATCATTCAACACAAGCGAGAGAACTTTTTTTTTTTTGTTTGTTTGGAACTTGGCATGTACAAATATATCTGGTTTGAATCATTTACTGAAAACTCACCTTTTGTTCTTCCACAAGTCTCACGAAGCAATCATCAGTCTTTCTCTGGTCCAGTGAACCTAACTGGAGATAACAAAAAGATTATCAGCACCCTGGAAAAACATAAACGCATAAGTATACTAAAAACAGACTAAATGTTTACCTTCTTCTTGTTGCCTTCATCAAGCCTCTGTCTCTCCATTTCCGTTGGTGCTTCCTTTTTGTCTCTCAGATTCTTCAGGTTATATATTATTCAGCCTTTCTTTTTCTTTCAAGATCCTGTCGACATTGCGCAGCGAATATTCCACCATCCTTTTGGCTTCAGGAGAAAAAGAAATTACAGAAACACGAGTCACAAATCTAAACCTAGATGCAGCCGAGGCAAAACATTAGCAATAAGTATTCGGTACAAACCTTCATCATAAGCTTGGTCCAGCTCCTCTTTCTCTCTGATCACTGAATCTTCATCAAAAGATCTGTTATCCATCCTTAGTAACGCAAAGCAGACAAACATAAATTTAAGTATCAAACCACTTACAAGTTAAACTTAAAAGCTTTCTAGACCAAACAAACATGCGTTTAAGAATCAAACCACTTAAAGGTTAAGCTTAAAACTATCATAGAGCAAACAGAACTTCTCACCAGATTTTAAAGATAGTTGACAAAGGGTAGTATATGTCTAAGCTTATTCCCAACATTTCAGAGCAAAGCAATAGAGAAGCTGAAACAAATCTCAGTTTTCTGAAAGGAACGCTTAGAGACGCATCATAGCTAACTTTTGAGAGAATCAAACCTTAGAAACTTAACATGCAGCTCGCGTGGTATAGAATGAAAGAGAGAGAGATTACCTTGAGAAAGCAGATTTGTCGAAGCAAGCAAGAAATGGCGAGATGAAACACTGAAGAAATCCGCAACAGTATTGTTGATTCTGAGATTTCTCCATTCGGGTTGGGTTTTCTGAAAAAAGGCTTAGAGACACACATTACAGCCAAGTTTTGAGAGAATCAAAACTTAACATGCAGATCGAGTGGTATATACTTAGAACGAGAGAGATTTTACCTTGACAAAGCAGTTTTGTAGAAGAAGCAAAACTTTAGGAGGCTCGCGGCGTGCAGAGTGTGTGATGACAGTGACAGTAGAAGAGCATTTGAGGGGAAATAGGAACCGTCTAAAGAGCTTGTTTTTTTTTTGGGTCACTCGATTGCGATTAGTATCTGATTTATTCATATGTTTAAGATTAATACTATATTATAAAATTCGAATTATATGAAACTATAGATTTTATAACCTTACTAGTATAATTTTTAAACTTTAAACTTATTAAGTTTTATTATTTTTTTACTTGCATTAAAATTTCAATAAATTTCAATTATATTTTTAATTTGAAAATGAAATTTAAATCACTTAAAAAAGAAAATAGAATGATGCATTTAAAAAGTTTTATTTTTATTGTGATTTCAATCATACTCGTCCACTATATACGTTTGAGTGACACATCAGCAAGGGAGAGAATGACATCTGTCAATTTAAAATATTAATAAATATATAATTAATTAAATTTAAAGCAAATACATTAAAAAACATATAAATAAACATTAATATATTTTATATTACAATGAATTCAAATTGATTTTCAATATACAGAATTTATAAATATTATATAATACAAAACTTTTTAAATGTACCATTCTAATACAAAACTTTTTAAATGCACCATTCATGAAATGTAATAATGATGTTGCACGTAACGTGCATGTTTTTTTCTTCAACTATTTCAAATTTATATATTTTTATATTTTCTTAAAAAATATAAACATTATTTGTTATGTGTTAGTATATTATTATAAATCAATCAATTTAAAATAAAATATCATTAAAAATCAAGAGTTAATATTTATATAAATTCTTGTTTAATTATATATCAATATATTTAATTAATTATAACATACTTGTTTAATATTTACATAAATGTTATTTAAAAATCAATTAATAGATATTTTTTTGAGTAGTTTAAAATTTAATATTAAAATTTATTAATTAATTTTCTTTTTTAAAACTGTAATTTTAAATAGATTTTTTCTTCAACTATTTCAAATTTATATATTTTATAATTTTTATTAAAAAAAATTGGTCATCATTTGTTAATATTTTATTATAAATTAATTAATTAAAAATATAATATCATTAAAAATCAAGAAGTTATTAAAAACATCAATTTTTAATTAATTATAACATAAATTCTTGTTTAATATTTACATAAATGTTATTTAAGAATCAATTAAAAAAACTTTTCATTTTCTTTGAGTGGTTTCACACTTAAAATTTATAAATGAATTTTCTTTAAAATGACAAATGTCATTCCTATATCAATTCTCAAATGCTGATGTGTCACTCATATTATCAATTCTCAAATGCTGATGTGTCACTCATATAGAAAGAGTTGAGCAACTTTTATATATACTAGGTGAATATCCGCACATAATGTGCGGGTTTTGCTTTTCAAATTTATATACTTCTATATTTTTGTAAAAGTAAATATAATCAATATGTTATTATAAACAATTTTAAAAATTAATTTAAAAATACATACTGAATATTATTAAATCATTGAGAAGATAAAAATAAAAGAAATATTCATCAGTATTTTTAATTAATTATAACATAAATTCTTGTTTGATATCTATACATAAATGTTATTTAAGAGTCAATAAAAAAACTTTTCATTTTCTTTGAAATGATTCATCAGTATTTTTAATTGAGTATAACATAAATTCTTGTTTAATATCTATATAAATGTTATTTAAGAGTCAATAAATTTTTTTATTATTTTTTTTGAAAGGATTAAAATTTAATATTAAAAATTTATTAATTATTTTTTTAAAAGAAAATGTGACATATATCATCTCCATATGATCAAAAATAATGAGGTGTCACTCATATGGAGAGAGTTGATCCTCTTTTATATATAAGAAGTTATTCTCTCTACTATATATATATATATATATACATATTTATAGACTCAAATAGATGTATGTGAGATCGTATATTGTTGAGAAGAGATAAACTGAAAACGTAAAAAAGATTATTGCTCCACGATTCGCAATGGCAAGCTCTTTCCTTTCAAAGATGAAGATACAAAACCTTAGCACATCTTTAGAAACAGCAGATCAATCTCTCTCAAAGATGAAGAAAAAGCAAAAGGTAAGAAAATCACAAGTAATCACAGTTCCCTCTCTATGAATGAAGGATTTGCGAGAAGCAATAAAGAAGAAAAACGACGCCGAGTTGGTCCTTATGCGTGAAGTAATCGCTTCCAAAGCAAAAACCTCAAACTTCATCTTCTCTCGCATCACTTAACGCCGCCTTCACACTGAAGTCTGCCGGCTCCGGCTCCGACGAGCTTAACGCCGTCTACAGCGAGATCTCTAACACCGTTTTAGCTGACGATAGCGCGAGCGGCGGCCCCAAAATCATGGCGATTAACGGCGTTTGGGTCGACCAATCACTCCCGGTTAATCATTCGTTGAAAGATCTCTTTGTTAATGTCTTCAAGGCTACTTTCACTCAAGTTGATTTCAGGTCTAAGGTAAGTTTTCCCTCGTCCCTTAATTTTCTTATTTTACTAGATAGTTGGCAAGTTTACATGCATGAATGCTTATATATGTAATCCAATCTATGGAACTAACTGACATGTTTTTTACTGTTTTGAAGTATAAACAAGTGCGTATAGAGCTGAATAAATGGGCTTCAGATCAAACCAATGACCTCATCGAAGACCTTCTTCCTCATGGATCCGTTACAAGCAAAACCAATGAGGTTTATGGAAACGCATTATACTTCAAAAGGAGCCTGGGAAAACAAATTCAGGAAGTCTGAGACGAGAAAACAAGATTTTCTCCTTCTCAATGGCTCGTCAGTGTCTGTGCCATTCATGAGGAGTTATAAGAGGCAATACGTCGCGGCTTACGATGGTTTCAAGGTCCTTAGACTACCATTCCGACAAGGTGATGGTGATACCAACCGAGAGTTCTCAATGTACTTGTATCTGCCCGACAATAAAAATGGACTGTATAATGTCGTGAAGAAAATGACATCAACTCCTGGATTCTTGAAAAAGCACATTCCAAGAGACAAAGTTCAAGTGAATTCAGGATCTCAAAGTTTAAGATATCTTTCGGATTCTCGGCTGCTTCAAGGGATTTCGACGACAGATTAGGATTGGATGAGTCTTTATACCATAAAGCTTGTGTCGAGATCGATGAAGAAGGCGCGGAAGCTGCTGTTGCCACTTGTTTTCTGGGGTTTAGCTGCTTAAGTCGTAGTAAAAACATAGATTTCGTGGCTGACCATCCGTTTCTTTTGGCCATTAATTCGTTTCTTTTCTTGATTAGAGAAGACAAAACCGGAACCGTTTTGTTCGCCGGTCAAATATTTGATCCTTCCAAATCTTCTTAACCGGGCTCAGCTCAGGTTTAACCGGATTTGGTTCGGTTAATGTGGCACGTAAAAAATATGATATATGTTTTAGTCTTGGGCTTAGTTCATGTTTTCATTTGAGAAATTATCTTTAGAAACCGAAAATTGTTCAGAGGCTTAGGAGATTTGGGATTTTTGTAGCTTAGTTTGGTTTAGGTCATGTTCATTGAATTTTTTTAGTAAAAGGTGAAAGTATAGTTCGCTATGTGTTCACCACATGACCAGTAGATTCGTATCGTCGAGGGCTTCGATTTGATATGTAGATCGTCTTCTGGTTCCTCACAGTTTGGAAGATATGCGTCTATCTATTTATATATTTTATTTGTGTAGTGATTTACTTATGTGTCGATTCCAAAATCAATTTCAGCTATAAAAAAACTGTATTGTTGTGAAAACTTCTTAGAAACTTTATTAATCACTGGAATGTATATATAGAGTACATAGGGAATCTAGGTTAAGTACAATGCCCTGATGGGCCTAATGGGCCGGTATAAGAGTCCATATATGATATGTGTTACAACACTCCCCCTTGGACGAGTGAACCGGGCCAGCTACTCAATCGGGATCTCGCTGCTGATGTGTGAAAAAAACTTAAAACAAACCAGTCTAAATTATTATGATTTAATGTTTAATTTTATAGTCAATCAAACCGTTTCTAAAATCATATAAAACTAAAATTTAGAAAAAATTAACAAAAACGTTTTTTTAAAAAAATAACATAAAAGTTTTAAAAATAAAAATAAATTTGGAAACTATATCTCTTAATGATTACCATTAATATGTTACCGAAATTTAGAAAAAATTAACAAAAATGTTAAAAGAAACAAAAAACTTAATGATTACCATATTTTATGTTACCAAAATTTTTTAAAAAAAATCTAACAAAAATGTTAAAAAAAAAAACAAAAACTGAAATCTATTTAAAAATTAATGGAATGTCTAATCAAACCGTTTTTAAAATTATATAAAACTGAAATTTAAAAAACATAATAAAAATTAAAAAAAATCAATAAATAAAATATATATGTCCAATGAAATGTCGTTAATTATAATATCTAGATTATGATTTTTGATTTCTTATCTATATACTACTTCAAACCTCTTTACCTTTTTACTAAAATCAAAGCTTATTTATAAATTTTAGATTCGTCTAACTTAAAGCAGAGATGAAAAAAATTAATACTCTTAAAATAATTTATATATAAAAATACATTTGATAGATATATATAGGTCAAGCAAGACGTGGATAAACTAACTAGTTAAAATTTTTGTTAGGTTTAGAGTATGACGATGCCCGAGAACGACAAGGCGCAGCCTGAGTACGTGAAAGCTAAGACGGCGGTGTGGTGGGACATCAACAGCTGTCCGCTTCCACATGGTTATGATGCTCGTCGGGTGCGTCCGAGTATAGAATCGGCGTTGAAGAATTTAGGATACTCTGGTCCTGTCGACATCACTGTCATTGGCTACCTAGAAGACACCCCTCAAGTCGTTCTGCGAGGGCTCTCTTCCACAGGGATCTATGTTAAACACGGTCGCGCAAACGGGATCCTTTTTAACTTGTTGATATCTTGGCAAGAGCGTAATCCACCTCCGGCTTCAATGATGCTCATATCCGATAAAGTGGAAGATATCTCTTTGGCTCTTTGCCATCGACAGCAACGGATTAGTGGATACAACCTTCTTCGTGTATATAACTGTATTCCTGAGTATGTTTCAATTTTGTACAATACTGGGGAGTGGCTCTGGGAAAGCTTACTGGCGACAGGTGTTTGTCTTCTCTCTCTCACACACAGAGATCAGTTGAATTACCAGGAATTAAATCTGTTTCTCAACTAGTTTATTTGTTTTTTTTTTTCTTACAGATGAAATCAATAATGAACCGGAGACAAGAATACAGTCTTCGTTTCGTAGGACCTTTATTTTGCCCGAACAGCACCTGTTTTATTGCTCAACATGCTGCTTTCCTACCCAAAGCCTTGAAATTTTCACCACGCATCTCTCGGGTGAAGAACATGAAATTGAAGTAAGCTCTCTGCTTGTATCATCTAATACATTTTTTCATTGTCCAACTATTTGAGCCAACATTTTGACCACCACAATGTTGTTGTTATCTTTTTCCACTCAAGCAGCAGACGGACCTTGACAATTCTAGGATTCAGTACAAACAATCAGAGGCAAGTTTTTATATCTCAATACCTTCTCTTCTTAATGAAATTATTTAGAGATTCAACAGAGAAATAGATAAGCATGAAATTGACTTTGGTTGATGCTAAAGCATTTTTGAAGAAAAAATGTTGCAACTCGTTGTTTCTGTTTTAAAAACATGCTTCTACATCTTGATTTTTCCACATGCCCGTCGTGCTCTGTTCTCATGTCTCCAAATACTCATTGTTTTATATGCATCTTTTGCAGGTAGAAAAAAATCCTCCCAAGAGCAAACGTTCGAAGAAGCGAGCTCGGCGTCGTGCCGCTGCTTGAGAATTCCCAAGCCTGCTAGAGAGGGAGTTTCTGCTTGAAGAATAATTATTGCACAAGTCAATCACTCCTGTATACCTCTCTTGTTCGATGAATTTTTTCGCTAAATTATCGTTTCACAAGATGACTCGTTTTTTTTTTTTGAAGTTTTTTCTATTTTCGTTTTGGTTTGCTTTAAAAACGATAAAAGATTCCGTGTCCTCCGTATTCTCAAGTTTTTTTTTTATATATTATATCCCGATTAGAGAAAAAAAAAACTTTCTCAACCAAACACACAAATACAAAATAAAATCTCATGTTACAAATTAAGCTAAATTTTTTAGGTAACGTTACTTAATTATTTTTAAGTACGGAAACACTTTGCATACTTTATCTTTAGCACGTAAACAAGAAACGAAAAAAGTTTCGTATGACTTTGTGACGAATGAAGCCTACATGAGACGAACTGAGCGAACACAAGATAATAAATTGGAACGTGTAATTGACTCATTGCTAACGCTCTCGGGTCTTCAATATGACTCATCTTTATGTTGGGGAGGACTTGAGTGGCCCCAACTTGGATTTGATTTTTGACAAAAGACGTGGCCATAAACTTCCCTTTTCATGCCTAAACCTAACATACAATTCAGAGAAAATTCATAGGCCATGTACGTTCATTTGCTTCTTTCGCCCATCCTTAAAGCCCCCCTGCTGGGACAGTAACTTGAGAGTCAAGTAAATAAACAAAAACTTGTGCAACAAGCAATGACTCAAATAACTAATAAGTAAAATTTACAATCATTTCTTTATTTATTTTAATTTTTAACATTAAAATTCTTTTTTCAACCGGGAAAAGTAATCTTTATATATAGTATATAGATATGACAAAACTGTATATCATAGTAGTAAATCTTATAGAAAGTTAGATTTTCCAATTCTATAATATCTGATTTTTTTTATAAAACAAATACCGACTATAAGCCACAAGGTCCAAACCCTAGTTGTTTACTGATCAGAAACTAGGCATTTACATATTTTCTAAATATATATATATATATATATATCATGTGCGTTCACAGCAATAAACAAAAACGTTGAAGATGGAACCAAAAAAGAGAAAACAAAAGCTTCTCACATCTTCAGATACAGCAGATGATCCATCATCTCTCTCAAAGATGGAACGGAAAAAAGAAGAAAAAGCAAAAACGCAGCAAATCACAAGTAATCGTAAGTCCCTCTCTCTCAGAGGAGGAGATGCGAGAAGCCATGAAGAAGCAAAACGACGCCGCTTTGAGTCTTACGCGTAAAGTAAAATCGCTTCAGAAGCAAGCAACTCCAACTTTATATTCTCTCCGGCGTCAATCAAAGCCGCGCTCACAATGATGGCTGCCGGCAACGGCTCCTGCTCCGACGAGCTTAAGGCCGTCTACAGCGAGATCGCCACCATCGTCTTTGCTGACGTCAGTGCAAGCGGTGGCCCCAAAATCTCGGCGATTAACGGCGTTTGGGTCGAGCAATCACTCCCGGTTAATCATTCCTTCAAAGATCTCTTGAAGAATGTCTTCAAGGCTACTTTTGATCAAGTTGATTTCAGATCCAAGGTACATTCTCCCCGTTTCCTCAGTTTTCTATTTTAACGAGCTAACTTTATATTCAATATTAACATGATCATGTTATGATAGGATTCTAATTTATGATGTTTTAAGACTTTGTTTTGGACAAAAAAAAAAAATTAATTATAAATAAAATTTGTTCTTGAGTACAAACTGTTTATCTAAAGAAACCTTTAAACCATAAAAGGATCATCATATACTTTGACAACAAAAAAAAAATCTTTATTTTGATGGAGTTAACCGTTAATGAACATATTAGTACAAAAGTCCTTGCTAGTATCGATTTAAATAGATCAATTCATGTTTCGAGAAAACTTAATCTGAAACCTATGCCATTAACTGAAATTTACTGAGAACAGTTGTTATTGTTTTGAAGGCTCAACAAATGCGTATAAAGCTGAATAAATGGGCTTCAGATCACACAAATGGTCTTATCAGAGACCTTCTTCCTCCTGAGTCCGTTACAAGCGCCACCGAATGGATTTGTGGAAACGCATTGTACTTCAAAGGAGCCTGGAAAAACAAATTCTCTAAGTCGAATACAAAGTACAAAGACTTTCACCTTATCAATGGCTCGTCAGTGTCTGTGCCATTTATGAGCAGCAAGAAAGACCAATACATTGAGGCTTATGATGGTTTCAAGGTCCTTGGACTACCATACCGACAAGGCCGTAGTGATGATGATACCAGCCGAAAGTTCTCAATGTATTTCTATCTTCCGGACAAGAAAGATGGATTGAATAATCTTGTGGAGGAAATGACATCAACTCCTGGATTCTTGGACAGTCATATCCCAAAATACAAGGTTCAAGTTGGCGATTTCAGAATTCCAAAGTTTAAAATCTCTTTCATGTTTGAGGCTTCAAGGATTTTTGAGGAGGTTTTAAATGACCTTGTACCATAAATTAAGCTCGTGTCGAGATCGATGAAGAAGGCGCTGAAGCTGCGGCTGTCTCTTATGTGGTAGGGAATAGGTTAAGCTTGTGTCGTGTCACTCGTGGTAAGCCGCCTCCTCCCAAGAGGATCGATTTTGTGGCTGATCATCCATTTTTATTCTTGATCAGGGAAGACAACACCGTAACCGTTTTGTTTGCTGGTCAAATATTCGATCCTAGCTCCTAGGTAGATGGTATTCGGGATCAGATCAGGTTTAACCAGACTCCGGTTTGGTGAAATGGGTTGCAATATTATGTTTTGAGTTAAACGTCGAACTGCGTCTAGATGGTTTTGGATTTAATTTTGTTATTTTTTAAAAAAGAAAAATTTCTACTGAATTGAGATCTAAGGAGGTTTGTTTCAGACCGGATCATTTTGATTCATTCGGTTGGGTTTTTGATGTTTTTCTATTATGTTCTGACCGAGAAAATTTGATATTTATAACTTTTGTGATTCATAAAGGTTATTTTTTTCGTTCAATGGTAAGAAAATTGAATCCGAAGCTTAAGCAGATTATCTGATCAAATTTGTTTGACAAATGGTATCTACTACATTCAACAAATTGTGTAACAAGATAGCTTACATTAATTTTTCTTTTATTACTAAGATTTATTATTAATTATTTTTTAGAATTTCCTAGCCAAGGCAAATTAAGGCGACAAGCTAGATTACTTGTGTAACAAGTTAAATATGTGAATACCACTTACGAACTACGAAGACATTTTGGAAGAGGGAGATTATCGTTTATAGGTCATAAAGTTCTCAATGTATTTCTATCTGCCCGACAAGAAAGATGGATTAGATCATCTTGTGCAGAGAATAGCATCTACTCATGGATTCTTGGACTCTCACATTCCGAGACAGAGAGTTAGAGTTGGTGTGATTTCAGAATTCCAAAGTTTAAGATCCAATACGGCTTTAAAGCTTCAGAGGTTTTCCGTGATTTGAAGCTCAAAGTGTCATTGTACCATATAGCTTGTGTCCAAATCGATGAAGAAGGTACTGAAGCTGCAGCTGCTACTGCTCTAGTACTTAATTAGGACTACTTGCAGCGCTTTTGTGCCGAAGAAGATAGATCTTGTGGCTGATTATCCATTTCTTTTCTTGATCAGAGAAGTCAAAACCGGAACCGTTTCGTTTGTTGGTCAAATATTTAATCCTTCCAAATCTTCTTTTGCTTAAGACCGGTTTTTTTACCATATTATAATATGTTTATTAGGGTCAGGTATTAATTTCTCTAAATTATATTTGAGATACAACTGATTGAGATTGGTTTGTTTCTGGTGGGTTTGGGACTTTGGGGTTTCAGTTTGGGTCTTATTGGAAAATATTCATTGGATTGAAACCTAACTAGATTCGGTTCAGACCGGAACATTTTGGGTTCACTATATTCAGTCGATAAGTTATCTAAACTTCTTTTTCTTTTGTCGATAAGTTATTCGGTCTATAAGTTATCTAAACTAACCATAATGGCATTGTTTTCATAATGAATTATTAGGTAGTCCGTAGTTCATGAGTTACGTTACAACATTTTCACGGAATCGTGTATTCTTTGTATATTGAGAGGTTTTTTGGATTGATATTTAACATTTAAAGATTATATTTGACACCACTAAAATAAAACGTCTAAATAGAGAGAGAGTCAGAGACATTGTACTGGTGCCGTGGATGATGGTTTATTCCGATCGTGGTTAAGTCCATTTAATTAAACCGGTAACTTCAGAGAACCGGATAAATAGAACCGGATATCTACACATTTTTGATACCTTCATCATTTTGGATATGGATGGAGATGATAACAATCGCCTATCTCCAAATTGTTTCGAGAGCAGCACATCATGATAATTGTATTAGTAAACACTTATCATAATCTTATTTATTTAAATTATTATTATGATACAGTAGTTTAGTTTGATGTTTAATTTTTTTCAATTGGGTAATCGACTAGACTAGTTTACCTACATATATATATCATATATTTGTTATGTTCAATTTTATATATAATAAAATAATCAAATTTGTTGCAGCCAAATTACGTTCTTTAAATACTTACTTCGCATGTAAGAAAAAAACAAGGGATATGTTTACTTTCCACAAAAAAAGAATATTTACCTTTTTTCCGAGTGGACGTATCCAAATATGGCATTTATCTATAGTATATCTTTCCAGATTTCATTCAACAACAGAGTCAATAATAGTACTTTTAATCTAAAAATGAGTCAATATATCTAAAAAAGACATTAATTGTACTTTTTATCAACTGAGTTTCTCAAATTATATATATTATACGCAAAGTAAAATTTTGAGTTAAAGCTCTCTAATTCAATTTTAGAGTGGCTAATTACCCTTTACCCCTCCTTATATTTTTCTAAAATAAAATTTAATAAAAAAAATTATTGAAAATCGAAAATTAATAAAATTTATTATTAAAAATCGTAAATTAATAAAAAATTATTAAAATCGGAATTTAATAAAAAAATATTTAAGTTTTAAAAAATATTAAAAATTGTAAATTAATAAAAGAATTATATAAATCGGAATTTAATCAAAAAACATTTAAATTTTAAAAATTTATTAAAAATTGGAATTTAATAAAAAACATTAAAATCATATCATATATACTATATGCGAAGTAAATTTTTCGGTATAAGTTCTCTTATTCAATTTAGGTGACTAATCATCATAGTATATATTAAAAGCGAAGTGAATTTTAGCTTTAAAGACCTCTCATTCAATCTCAGCGTGATTAATTATTTTTTTGTCCCTTTCTAAAAGGTCATTAATATCTTTTAATTGGTTAAAATTAAGTTTTATTTATAATTAACTATACCAAATTTTGTTACCATAAAGTTAATATTGGATCTTTTAATGCTATAAAATTGTATGGTTTTGTATATGAAAGCCCCAAGGCTCTCACTTTAGCCCTAATCTTCGATTAGTCAGAGCTTCTTCTTCAACCGGTGGTTTCTGTGTTTTGACGTTTGAGTTGTATTGCTTTATAAAAAATTTTGAATTAGGGTTTTTTGTTTAAAATCTTTGGGTCTGTATTCATGATGAATGAGGACGATTGAGTATTTAAGCTTTGCGATTAATTTCTATCGATATTGCTCTATAAGTCTATGACCAGTCGGATCCCATACTGTTTATGCTCCTCCATCTCAACTTTGTTTCTGTTTTTGCAATGTGTCTGGTTTATCCAAAAATAATTTTGTTTAAGACTTGAGATTCTATTTGGATTTCATGTTTAAGGTGTATTCATCTCAGTTAAATTTTGAGGAATCAAAGTGATGCTAATCATACTGATTTAGCGTTGTTTATTGTGATGTCCAGTTATAGTGAAGAATATATTCACAAGCATAAAATCGTAGCAAAACAAAAAAAAATATTCACAAGCATAAAAGAGACCATATTGAACGAGTTTTTACTGTTCTCTAAGCCAAGTCAAATTGATCGCTCTACTTCTTCACTCTAATTATAGTAAAGACTGAAGAAATCGTTGGAATAAAGATTTCGATGAGCCTGGGACTCTTGCCCCAACCAGACTTTCTTGGCCGTGCGAAATACATGGTTATTCAAGGTGAACCAGGATGATGCATAATGGAATATAAATGGGAAATTATTGATTAAATTTAAACAAACTAGACCAATCAGGGTTTTAAAATTATATTTTTCATGTTAAATCTTGTGGAATTGTTGAACAGAAAGTGTGATTTCACTAAAGACTGTTATTGGTAAAATCTTGCAATCATGCTAATTTAGGAATATTAGTAATGACACTTTCAGTGAGACTTTTGTTACAACATTTTTCTTAAATGGACCAAAGTATTTATGTGGTTGATTTTACGATTGGATAATGGAATGTAGGAGGGTCTTGAATTGGACATTTGCATATGGATACTACCTTGCTCATAATGAACATGCAAAGACACAATTTTTTCGAGTATTTGAAAGGGGAAGCTCGAGCTGGTTTGGAGAGGCTTCATCATTGTGCAGAGATGTAGTTGGAACAGTTTGTCTCCGGAACTAATGAACCATCCAAAAGTTTCAATGATTTCGTTTGACTAAAGTAACCAAATCTACTTCGAAAAACATGTGAAAGCTTTGGAGAATGGTCTTGCTGATGTGGAACACAATGAGAGCACAAATCAACAACAGACTCTAGATCTTTTTTCAAATGACAAAGGTTGACAAGGGTCTAAGAAAGATCCAAGTGGTAAGTGAGAGATCTTTCGGCTTCAGATTTATATTATTGGTGCAAAAAACCGTATGGTTTATTGCAAGTGGTATTTTCCAAATTAAGGATCATATCAAGTATTTGGGTTACAATTCGGAGGGACATGTGAAAAATTGTAAGTTTATAGTATTGAGAAGCTATTGGTTAAGATAAATAAAGAATAAATTTGTTTCCCCCTAAAAAAACCTATAGCATCACTCCGCTAATTAAAAGATTTTTACTTCTTTCAACGTCTTATAGAAAAAATAATCTCATTATGTAAATCTCAATAACAGAGTACATTGGTAAAGTTTTAAAAACCAAAAAATAGTCAAGATAATACCAGTAGGTACCTTACATAACGATCAAAGGGAAAGTGAGTAACTCCTATGAGAGAGTCATCTCATTTATAATTGTTTAAGAATCTAATATTTTTTTTAAAACTAATTGGAAGAATATATGTCTGAAATAATAAATAATTCATTATGTGAAGATTATTCTTTCTACAAAATATAAGAAGTGAATACAGTTCTAATTTTTATGATTAAAAATTAAAACATGTTTTAGTTGTTTGATTTATATATAATTTTAGAATTACTTTTTAGGCAATAAAGAATAACAACTTTAAGAGTGACTTGGTTTCAGCTTCCAAACTATATTTCATCTTCGTTTAAGAGGAGAGTTCATATTAGAATACTCGGATAATATGTGTCTATGTTATCTTTGTGCTTCACTTTGCAAGATTTTTTGAAATTGATCGTTTATACAAAGATAATCAAGCCTATAAAAGATGTGAAAATATACATCTGAAAACTTCCAAAATTCCAAAAATAAATAGTAGAAGAAAATACGAAGAAGGAATAAAACTAAAAAAAGAAGAAAAACACAAAGAAGAAGTCTGTTTATTTAATAATTTATGTAGAAGAATAAGAAATTGGAAAATATAGACTATATAAAGAATAATAAGAAGAAAAAAAATTGAAAGAACAAGATAAAAAGAAATTGAAAGAAAAGATGATGTTTTTGTCCGCGCAACGCGATTTTGAGTAAGTTTTTCAAGTAAATTAGCGATTTTGAGTAAGTTTTTCAAGTAAATTAGCGATTTTGAGTAAGTTTTTCAAGTAAATTAGCGATTTTGAGTAAGTATTTTAATGAAACATTTCCGCCCGCACAAAGTGCGGGCTAAACACCTAGTTAGTTAAAAGATTTGACATGCTATTAAACGGATTCTTTTATAAGAAGTTTAAATAAATTATTTGAGATTCACTACCATAAAAGCACACTTCTGTTAAATAAATTATTTGAGATTCACTACCATAAAAGATTTGACATGCTTTTAAACGGATCTTTTTATAAGAAGTTTAAACAGTTGAGTTTCTCAATTCAACTGTAAAATAAAATTACTTGAGATTCACAACCCTAAAACCACACCTCTGGATCCTTTTATAAGAAGAAGTCTGACCTTAGCTCTCTGAATCCTCTCTCTCTGTGGATCAAAAAGATGGATGTGAGCGAAGCTATGAAGAAGCGAAACGACGTTGCGATGATCTTCTCCAAGCACGTCTTATCATCTTCCGTGTCTAACGTCGTCTTTTCGCCGGCGTCAATAAACTCTGTGATCACCATGCTCGCCGTTGGTCCCGGAGGTGACTCAGTCGCCGGTGAAATCCTCTCCTTCCTCAGAGCTTCTTCAATCGATGAGCTCAAAGCCGTCTTCCGCGAGATCTCCTCACTCGTCTTCGCCGACCACAGCGCGAGCTGAAGCCCCAAGATCACTGCAGCGAATGGCCTCTGGATCGACAAGTCACTTCCCATTGATCCCAAGTTCAAGGATATCTTCGAGAATCTCTTCAATGCTATCTACGCTCCAGTAGATTTCCGATCAAAGGTACTTTCTTCTCTTGTAAACAAGAAAAAACTAGGGTTTCAAAAACTAGGGTTTCAAAAACTAGGTTTTAGTAGTAGAAACTCTGTTTGAATTTGTGTGTTTGATCCAAAAAATGAAATGATGATTTGGTATTTTTCGAAGGCTGAAGAAGTGCGTCTAGAGGTGAATTCATGGGTTGAAGACAATACCAATAATCTCATCAAGGATCTTCTTCCTTACGATTCCGTCACAAGCGTAACCAACAAGATTTTTGCAAACGCATTGTATTTCAAGGGAGCTTGGGAAACGCCATTTGATAAGTACAATACAAGAGACGAAAATTTTCACCTTCTCAATGGCGAAACAGTGTCTGTGCCATTCATGAGCAGCGATGAGGATCAATACGTTGGAGCTTATGATGGTTTCAAGGTCTCCCTTATAGACGAGGCAATGATGATACCAATCGAGAATTCTCAATGTATTTCTATCTCCCGGACAAAAAGGATGGTTTGAATGATCTTGTGGAGAAGATGTCATCTACTCCTGGATTCGTGGATAGTCACACTCCGAGTTACCAAACGGAAGTTGCAGAATTCAGAATTCCAAAGTTTAAGATCGAATATGGGTTTGAAGCTTTAAAAGTTTTCCCTGATTTGAAGCTCAATGACCTGTTATTGTTGTACCATAAAGCTTGTGTTGAAGTTGATGAAGAAGGTGCTGAAGCTGCAGCTGCAACTGCTATGATGGAAGGCTGTTGTTGTTACGAGGAGCCTCCTAAGAGGATAGATTTTGTGGCTGACCATCCATTTATTTTCTTGATTAGAGAAGACAAAACCGGAATCGTTTTGTTCGTTGGTCAGATCATTGATCCTTCCAAATCTTCTTCTGCTTAGAACGGGATTACTTGTTGAAGATGACGAAGAAAGAAAGTTTCTGTTATTGATTATGTGAAAATGTTGTTACAATGCTTTATATATATAAACATCATAAACACGGTTCAATCCGGTCTAATACATTTCTGGTGTATCCTAAAAATTACGGTTTGGTATTATTCTTGGTTTGGTGTTAGAGGTCCCAAGCTTTGAACCCGATCAAAGCCAAAACAACTAAGAACACTCAGTAACAAAACCTTGAACCCGATCAAAGTTTAGAACAGAGTAAGAACACAAAAGCTTAAACCCGATTAAGCTAAAGAACAAGAACTCAAACACAGTTTCTTTTGGGTAGTTTAGACTACCTCTTTTTGTTGAATTTCATTGATTAAATAGGGAACGTACAAGAAGCAAATTGGAGTTATCAAATCCTACAAAACAGGAAGTAGAAAAAATGGGAAAAGTGGTTGATGGGTTCCTCACAAATAGGAAGACCAATTTCACGTTATTTGCAACAATGAAAAGATAACATAACAAAAGGAAAAACAAAGATTAAGTATTGACTTAATCAAACTTGCAATTGACTCTTATCATTTGGTGCTTCCCGTAGTTTTAGATTTTGTTTTGATAAAGTTACAAAAAAAACTTTCGCTAAATTAGCTATAATCAACTCAGAGCATTAGTTCTCATAGATATGTTATTCTGATTATGACTCTTTTTGTGAGTTTTGATTACGAAATTTGTGAAAAACATAAAACTTGTGAATTCTGATTATGGACTCCGAAATACTCTGAAGTCTGAATCTCAACTCCAACAAGAGACTTGAGAGTCTTCTGACCCAAAAATAAAAATAAATAAAATAATTGGAGCCTTGAGAGTCAAGAGAGCAAGCAAACTTGCATAACAAGCGATAAACTAAAGGAACTAAGATATACATCTTTCTCCCTTTTAACACATTGATCAATATGATTTTAAGAGAACACCACCTTTGACGCCAACGAGAAACATGACCTTAATTAGACTCTTCTCCCTCAATCACTTTATTATAATAGACACACGTTCACCCAAATTCATAGAGAAAACCAGGAGAAAAAAAGATGCCTCAAAAGAACGATACAGTGAAGTTGATAAGTTCTTGGTCAAGTCCCTATGCCATTAGGGCTCGAGTGGCTCTACATTTGAAATCCGTCAAGTACAAAGTACGTGGACGAATCGATGTAGTGATGTCCTCAAGTCAAAGAGTGAACTACTCCTCAAGTCTAACCCAACTTACAAGAAATCTCTTTTCTCATCCATGGTAATGATCGGAGGATTCTTCCGAGGAGAAAAGATCGGCTAAGATGATATTTCTTGTAGACATTTTTAGGTCCAATCTCCGTGATCGAGGTGTTTTCTGGTGTAACTGATCTTTTCTCCTCCGAAGATTTCTCCTCTGAAGAATCTTCCTCCGGATCCTCCGGATCCTCCGAATCCTCCGGATCCTCCGAATCCTCCGGATCCTCCGAATCCTCCTCTGAAGAATCCTCCGAATCCTCCTCGGAAGAATCCTCCGATGAAAAATACTCTTCCGAAGAATCCTCAGAATAATCCTCCGATCCTGTGATCGAAACCATGATTCCGCGAAACCATGATTCCGCGAAACCCAGCAGAGATCTAGAAGCAATCTATTGAAACAAAATCAAATCACCATATCATGCATAAATATGACATGAAAATTAAAAGCAAAACCAAAACGCAGCTAAAAACCTACTGAAAATGTCTAGTCTTGCACAAAAAATTCATTATTGTATGTACACATTCTTTGAGCTTTATAGTAAGATTGCTTCAATGACATGGTACTACCCTATAATTGAGACACAAAATGAATGGCTCACATTAAACGACATAGTTTTGATTTGTCAAGTTCTGCACAAAAAAATCAGAATTTAAGTGTAAGAAAAACAAAAATAATGAACTTATAACAAAAAAAAATTAAAATGAGCAATAAATAATAGAACATGTGTTGAGAGAAAAATTAGGATCTTATTATTTTCTATAAGCAGTATATATATACATTACATAACTAATGTATCAGAAACCCTAATGGGCCAATATGAGACATTAACCTGATGGTTAATGGGCCGGTTACTAGAAGTCCATTTGTTTATAACACTCCCCCTTGGACAAGGTAACCGTGCCTGTCACAAAACCGGGATCTCTATAATGCGCTGGGGAACGTTGCCTCATTAAAACCTTACCAGGAAAACCCAGTGGGAAAAACCATGGTGAAGGAAAAAGAGTACAACACGCATTACTCCCCCTGGTTTAGGCATCACTGTAGATCTCTAAGTCTACGCATTCCTATCTGATGAATGAGCTTCCGGAGTGTAGAAGTCGGTAATGATTTAGTGAATAGATCGGCTGAATTTTCGCTTGATCGGACTTGCTGAACCTTGACCTGACCATCCTTCTGTAGCTCATGAGTGAAGAAGAATTTGGGCAGAATATGCTTCGTCCGGTCACCTTTGATGTAGCCGTCCTTGAGTTGAGCGATACAAGCTGCATTGTCTTCATACATCACCGTAGGCTCCTTATCTTCGTCCATACCACAATCTGATCGGATATGCTGAGTCATGGACCGCAACCAAACACACTCTCTACTAGCTTCGTGAATGGCCAAGATTTCCGCATGGTTGGATGAGGTAGCGGCAATAGTCTGCTTCATGGATCTCCAAGATATGGCTGTTCCTCCATGCGTGAAAACATAACCGGTTTGAGACCGGGCACAGTGCAGATCTGACAAATATCCTGCATCAGCAAAACCAACTAGACCATCCTTGTTATGGTTAGAATAAAATAATCCCAAGTCCTTAGTACCTTGAAGGTATCTAAGGATGTGCTTAATACCATTCCAGTGCCTTTGAGTTGGACACGAACTAAAGCGAGTTAAGAGGCTCACGGCAAAGCAGATGTCTGGTCTAGTGTGACTAGCCAAGTACATTAATGCTCCTATGGCACTGAGGTATGACATTTCAGGACCGAGGATTTCTTCATCGTCCTTCTTTGGACCGAATGGATCACTATCCAATCCAAGGCTCCTCACAACCATTGGGCTGGTCAATGGGTGGGCCTGGTCCATATTGAATCTCTTGAGTACCTTTTCAGTGTATGCCAATTGATGCACAAGGATTCCGTCATTGACGTACTCAAGTTGTAATCCCAAACAGAATTTAGTTTTGCCTAGGTCTTTCATTTCAAACTCTGCTTTTAAGCATTCAACTGTTTGGGCGATTTCACCAGATGTTCCGAGGATGTTCAAGTCATCCACGTATACTGCTATGATTACAAATTCTTTGTTTTGATATTTTCTGATGAAGATGCATGGACTGATCGGATCGTTTTCGTAGCCTTCTCTGATGAGATATTCGCTTAACCGGTTATACCACATACGTCCGCTTTGTTTCAGTCCATATAAGGATTTGTTCAGCCTAATGCAGTGTTTATCACGAGATGCATGCTTATCTTTGAGCTCAATACCATCTGGTAATCTCATATAGATTTCACTGTCCAGTGGTCCATAAAGATATGCGGTTACAACATCCATTAACCGCAAATCTAAGTTTTCTCTTATGGCCAGACTTATGAGGAATCGAAATGTAGTTGCATCCACCACTGGAGAATAAGTCTCCTCATAATCGATTCCGGGTCTCTGTGAGAATCCTTGTGCTACAAGGCGTGCCTTGTCTCTAACGACTTCGCCGAGTTCGTTTCTTTTACGCACAAAGACCCATTTGTTTCCCACTGGTTTAACATCGAATGGTGTCCTTAAGATCGGACCAAACACATTCCGTTTCTTTAAACTATTCAACTCCACGTTTATGGCTTCTTTCCATTTCAGCCAATCTGATCTACGAGTGCACTCAATTATAGACGTGGGTTCTAGATCCTCTTGCGTGTGCGCAATCTCAAGTGCTACTTTGTATGCAAAAGTTTCATTGATGTCGACATCTTTTCTGTTCCATAGAGAACCGAATATGATATAATTGATTGAGATCTCATTATTATCAATCCCTTCAGAACCTTGAGTTTTGGCGTCCCAAACCTCTTGAGATGGTTCGATAGGGTAAGTATCAGCTGAGGCTGTATCCGTGTTCTCTTGAATCCCGGTTTCAATCATTGCACCTTGCTTTGATTTCCGGGGATTCTTATCTTTGGAACCTGGTGGTCTGCCACGTTTCTTACGTGCGTCAGACTCTGTAGCAACTTGACTTTTCCCTGAGGGGACATCTATTCGTACTGGTGCATTACAAGCTGGTATGTACGATTTGGTAACTTTGTTCGGGTCAGCAAAGGAATCTGGCAATTGATTAGCTAGCTTTTGTAAATGTATAATTCTTTGGACCTCTGAATCACATTCTAGAGTCCGAGAATCTTGCCATTGTGTGGATGTTTGATTCCATGAAAGTTCTTTTACCAGCTTGTCTGTCTCACCACCTAATCTAGGATATACCGATTCATCAAATCGGCAATCTGCATATCTGGCTTTAAACAGATCTCCTGTAGTTGGCTCGAGATATTTTATGATGGTGGGAGAATCAAAACCAACATATATTCCCATCCTCCTTTGAGGTCCCATTTTAGTCCTCTGTGGTGGTGCAATGGGTACATAGACTGAACACCCAAATGTTTTAATATGGGAAACGTCTGGCTCATGACCCGTTAGCAATTGGGATGGTGAATATTTGTGCTCACTAGATGGTCGTATGCGTATTAGTTCAGCGGCATGTAAGACTGCGTGTCCCCAAGCTGAGACCGGGAGTTGTGACCTCATGAGTAATGGTCTAGCAACCCATTGAATTCGTTTAATGAAGGATTCAGCTAATCCATTTTGTGTATGGACATGTGGAACGGGATGTTCAACACTTACCCCCATGGACATACAATATTCATTAAACGCTTGGGAAGTGAATTCACCAGCATTATCAAGACGTATAGTCTTTAATGGGAAGTCTGGAAAATGGGCTCGTAATCTGATGATTTGG